AGGATCCGGTGGTCATACCATGGTGGTGGGGTTTTATAGTTATATTCCGGTTACAGGTGTACGGTTGTTGTTGTCGTCGTCGTCGTCGTCGTCGTCGTTGAAAACCAGCTTTACAACAACAACAACAACAACAACCAATAATATATACTCGTAAGACTAGAAAAGATAGTTGTCTTTTGTACTTATTCAATGATAAAAGAATACAAAAATTGGACACATATACAAATCATTCCATTTCTTCTTTGCAAAAGTTTTATTTAATAACGTTTGAATTTGTTTTTCTGGTTGTAATTCTAATATTGCATTTATCACAACAATTATATCTATATTCTGGTTTCTGTGTGATGTTTTATTTCCTATTCAAAATTTTTATTCAAGTTAAATTCTAAACAGTCAACATAAAAAGGTATGATTAAATTTTTATTTGAAACTAAATATTATTTTATAACATTACAATGACATTTGTGAATGGACGATTCTATATTGATTGAATGACGATGATCATATATACAATGTCATTTCATATTTCATGTTCATCAACAACAATATTGTTTTGGTGTTTTTTTTCAAAAAAAAAAAAAATAAATAAATGAATACGGATACTATTGTAACGTGAAGGATATATCATCATTATCATCAACCACACACACACACACACATACAACCATTTTCTAGCCTGTTGAATGAAATGGCGCCCACTTGTTTGTATATATCGCTATAGTTTGCTATATATCACATAGACATGGTGTTCCAACAAACAAACAACAACAACAACAAAACTCAAACCGCTGCTGCCATTTTGAATTATGGATTTTCATATTCATCATATTTTACAATACGTGTTTGTTTATTTGTATGTGTGTGTGTATGTCCTAGATTTTTTCACTATTTTATTTTGTTTCGCTTTTTTTTGTTGGGATGAATGAAATGAGAAATGAAATGGCCTCGTCGTATCTTCCATCATCATCATCATCATCATATGGTGTTTTCTCTCTTATATATCGTTGACTGACTTTTTCTCTGTTTTCACTATTGAAAATCATTTCATTATTTTGGTCACTTCTTGTTTGATCCATCAAACAAACAAACAAACAAAAAAACAACTACCGGATCCAATATTGATGATCATTTTGGGCCATTTAATGATTAATTTTGAAAGTTATCATGTTATAGAGAAAGAGAAAAAAGGAACCCAATTTTGCCATGCTGTTAATGATGATGATGATTTTCTGTTGTATCATCATCATCAACATATAATGTTCGATATATATCGACATTATTTTCCTAAATGAAAATGGTATATATAATGGTAATCATCATCATCATATATAATTATTATGGAGATATAATATGATGATGGTGGCAGTGTTGTCTCATAGCTATGTGATGATGATGATGATGATGATGATGATTTGAAAAATGGAAGAAAAAAAAATCATGCATGACATGGTTTAGATATATGATATTATAATATCGTCTGGACAAATAGACAATATTTTTTTTTCTGTATTTCACTGGATCTGGAACGTGTATGTTATATGCTGACGAATGATCATGATGATGATGATGATGATATGCATCATCCTCATCGATAGTTTTTCTCATTCATTCATTTTATTCGATTTTCGGTTTATTTGTTTGTTTATTTGCATTTAGATGATTGACTGAGAGGTTTGTGTCCAGTCCTATCTTTATTCGTTTTTCACTTATCTCTATTTGGCGATTGAAAAATTGTTTTTTTATGCAAACTATGAATAAATAATGATTCTATATATTGATTGATTGATATTTCAATTGTTCATTTTTTTGGAACAATAAAATAGAAAAACCACAATAGAAAGCCTTGATTCCGAATTTGTTGTGTGTTTGTTTGGTCCATATAGGAAAAAAAAGAAAAGTAAAAATCACTTTGCCTTTTTCTTATTACTACTCATTGGAAGAAGATTCATAATTTTTTTTTTGCTATTTGTTAACCATTTCATTTTCATTATTATTATTATGAATGTGTTTATCACTCTCTTTTTTTTCTCTTTATTCATTCATTCATTCATTTGGGTGAAATTTCATAGCTATGTTTTTTCTGTTTTGATTTGAAATTCAAAACAAATTCATCAAATATCGTTAAAATTGATCTCAATAAAGTTTCAATAATAACAGTGACAACAACATGTGAGAATTAACAACAACAACAACAAGAAAAAAAAGGGAGGAGATCGACCTAACAAACAAACAGAAAAAATTTCTTTCTCTCTCTCTCTCTCTATCCATTATCATTTCATTGAACACATATAACATGAGGATAACAGTGTGTGCAAATATCCATCATCATCATCATCATCATCATTGATTGCTTTAGCCCTTTTTTGTCGATTTCATTCATTCATTCATTCATTCACATAACAGCATAGGATTTAATACATACATATCTCTCTTGCTATGTCATGTGTTTTATTACAATAAGAGAGAAAGAAAGCGAGTGAGCTTCTTTCTCTCTTTTTCATTATTTTTTTTCTCATCTTTATTTCTGGATCGTTTCGTATGAACCAATTGAATTTTATATTATAAACTGAATGTTGTTGTTGTTGTTGTTGTTGTTGTTGTTGATGATGTTCGTTCATTCACTCTTTGTGTGTAAAAAAATTTGTTAGGATATAATATTTATGACCTAGATTTATGTCACATACACACACACACACTCACACACATGTTGCACAACAACTTTTCGATTTGATTATTAAAATACACACACACACACACACACACATGTTGATCATAATGTGAAAATATATCCATGGATAATGTATTTTTTTTCCTCTGTTGTGTTCATCATCATCCAACCAGCATCTAAAGAAAAATACTGTTTCCGAATTTTATATATGAGAGAGAGAGAGAGAGGCAAAGAGAGAAAGTCAAAATGTTTTCAATAAAAAAAATGAAATGGTAAAAAAAAAGTAAAATCTAAAATTCTCAATACACACACACACACACACACACACCCCAGAAAAAAAACAAACGTGTTTACTATCTCTCTCTTGTTGTTCATCAATTGATTATTGATTGAATCATTATCATCAATAGTTAGTTAATCATTTCGTTTGATGACATTCTCTCTCTCTCTCTCTCTCTCGATTCATCTATATTCCTGTTATTTGTGTTTTTTTTCTGACTTTCAATTTCTCTTTCATTTGTCGGTGGTTTATAAAGATTTTCATTTTTTTTTGTTTGTTTGTTTGATAGATGTACTGAATGTTGTATTCATCATCATAAACTCACTAAGTGACTGTCTCTTTTTTGTCAGTTTTTCTATATCCTGTTGTTTTGTACAGGACAACGATCTACATGTGTGTGTGTGTGTGTGTTTTTTGTTGTACATTTTTATATAATGTTTTTTTTTCTTATTTCAGTATTTAGTTTGGCGCCAAATTGACTATGACGTCATCATGTCACTACTTTTGTTTTTTCCCATTTTTTTTTCTCTGATTGACTGTCTCTTTGTGTGTTCCATTTTATCGTTGATTGTGTCTATGTGTTGTTGATTACATCATTTTTTAAAGATTTTTTTCTGTTTTTTTTTTTTGAATCAGGTGATTGATAGTATCGATTTATTGATTTTGATATCGTTTTTTTTTGTTATTGTTTAATGTTACTGTACATTTATATTGTTGGTGGTGTTTCAAAAAAAAAAAAAAAAAAAAAAAGTTGACCAAGGTTTTTTTTGTGTTCAAAGAATGAATTATTTTTTTTCTTCTGTTTAAATGTCTAATCCGGTCAAATTTTTTTTTCTTCCTTATGATTCACTTTGATTTTTTTTTCTGATGACAAATACGTGGCATATGTGTGTGTGTGTGTGTGTGTGTGTATTATGTTGTATAAATTGTCAACCATATGTAACGACTATAACGACAAACCTTGAATCCAGGTGCGTGTTTTGTTTTGTTTTGTTTTGTTTAGAGTTTTCTTCATTTTGTTTGTTATCTTTTCCCTGACCACTACTGATCATTGTATCACAGCAGACATTGGATTGATTTATTCATGACACCTATATGGTGTTGTAACAATATGTGACCATGATAGAGGTCCATGGTCAATTTATTTCCATTGATTCATTCAGTCTATGGGCCGGTCTGTTGGTTGGTTGGTTGGTTGGTTGGTTAGTTGGTTGTTTGTTTGTTTGATTGAACTGATCAAATTTACATCATTTTCAATAGAAAAAACACCAGAAAAAGACCTTCGACCTGTGTGTGTATGTTGTCCTATGGTTTATTATTTAAATGGCTTTTTTTTTCTACTTTTCTTATTGCACACACATTTATAACGTTATTTTTTTTTCTTTTCCTTTCCCTTCCATTTTGCATGGAAGGAAACAACGTTCAATAATTCCAGAAACACACAGCAAAAAAACAACAACAAAATATAGATAACCGTGTCATTTTGAATATGAAAAAAAAAAAAAACGTTTTTCATTCATTCATTCATTCATTCGACAATCTTGCCTGTGTTTCATTCGTTTACTTTCTCTTTTTTTTTCTGAAAATTTTCTCTTTTAACATTTGATATCTACACAAACACACACACACACACTTAGATCAGTGTGTTGTACACGTTGTTTTATTTTATTTCATTCGGTTCCGGTTGGAAGAAACACGAAATGAAAATATCAATTAAAATCACTTAGACTGACTGTGTGTGTGTGTATGTGTGATTTATTCACACTACAATCTTCCTTCTTTGCTTCCTACGCGTACGTTTTGTACGTCGATTTTTTTATGGTAAATTTTAACTTTTAAAACTGTCACATCACAAAACGTGTGTGTGAAATTCAATGAAAAGGCCTTTTTTTTGTTCAAGAACCGTTATGATATTTATTAGATAATTTTTTTTTTTTGCTCTTTTCTCTTTTTTTTTTTCATATGTACTATATATTTTGTTATGAATTCCATTCTAAATGATATTTGATCGATAATTTCTTTGTTTTATGTTTTTTTTTCTTTGACAAACAGGAAACATTAGTTGCACCATCGACGGCCACTAACCAGAGTTTAGTAGTAGGTGGTGGTAATGGTCATGCTGGTGTTGGAGTTGTTGTTGTTTCAGCATCATCATCTTTATCATCATCGTCTTTAGCTTCATCTCCAACATCGCCATCATCATCATCATCGTCGTCGTCGTCATCATCATCATCATCATGTTCAGCACAAGCATCACCACAATCATCAACAACAGTGACAACATCGAATTCGGTGATTATTGATTCGACGGTGTCGTCGTTGCCGTCATCATCATCATCAACAACAGCTGTTTCGACAGTAGCTTCATTGATGGCACCAAATCATCATCAAACTTCAGGTCAAATCGTTATGATTGGATCATCATCGAATATTGTTTCTGGAACTAATATAACTACAACCACTGTTAATGGTGTTAATATTGATAATAACTGTGGCAATAATCGAATAAAATCGCCACAATTTGCAATTGCTCCAACATCATCTGTTGTTCATCAAGTGATCAATCCGATTGATACAGCAAAGATGACGGCTACTGCTACATCTAATAATAATAACAGTATTTCTCCATCTACGACCACCAGTTCAGAAGTATTGAAACAGAATAATGAAATGGTCAAGACAACGGCCATTATGAGTCAAAATGTGCAACAATCGGCTCCAGCCAAAACGGTGGCCACAATATCATCATTCGTATTGCCCATTTCATTGAGTGGAGGTTGTGGTAATGATAATTCGACCGTAACATTGTCATCATCATCGACAACGATTCCGACCGTTACACGATCTGGATCAAGTGGTGGCGGACATCATAATAACCATAATCGTATAATTCCAGCATCATCCGTTATGGCCTCCATTCAATCTGCTGCTAATAACGGTAATAACAAGTTTCTACAATTGGAAATATATTTGTATTGAACTAATTTTTTTTTCATTAATTTAACAGTATCAAACGGTTTTAGTGGGAATCTTACTGCTGAAAGCAATAGTATGACTAGCAATGGTGGTCCAAAAACACCAACAAATAATGGAAACGATCAACAACATATAACTATACAGCAAATGGCTGCCGCAGTCGCATCGACAACATCAACAGCATTATCTGCAACACCATTTTTGAATAATAATTTAGGTTCACCATCTTCAGCGTCAATGACACAGCAACAAGCACAAAAACGTCCAATGAATGCATTTTTAATTTTTTGTAAACGACATAGAAGTGTCGTACGCGAACGTTATCCACATCTAGAGAATCGTTCGATAACAAAAATCTTGGGCGAATGGTGGGCAGCATTGAAAGCTGAAGAGAAACATGATTATACGGATTTAGCTCGGCAATATAAAGAAGCTTTTATGAAGGCTAATCCACATTTCAAATGGTATAAGACAACAGAACCACCTAGACCACCACCACCACTATCATCATCATCATCCCAAACACAATCATTATCATCGGTGACGACTCACATGATGCCTTCCAATCAAGTACAAAATGCCAATAATAATATTACGGTTAATACGGTCCTAGTGACTAATAATAATAACAACAACACAAACAATACGGGTACTACAGTAACGAATAGCAATCCATCTCAGCAACAACAACAACAACAACAGTCAACAACAGCAACATTGGCTTCGGAAATTTCCGGTTCATCTTTACCGATAGCTAATTCAACGGTGCAATCCTCATCTATGCCAACATCTACGAACAATAATAATGTTATTGTTGTTGGAAATGTGGCCATATCGCCAACTTTATCATCAACAACCCTAGATGTCACATCGCAATCTTCAAACACTGTTGGTGGTGGTGGTGTTACTGTTGGCAATAACTCATTAACGACGACAACAACAACAACAAGTTGTACAACACCAAAACCACCGAAAAAACGTTATCTCGAGTCATTAGAATCAAGTGGAGATTATACTAAAAGTGAGTATCTAGAAATATCTTGATAATTTTGAAAATAATTGATTGATTTCTATTCATTAGAAGTAACAACAACACCGGCGACAACAGCTAATCTCACTGGAATGAATGGAACATGTTCAACAGTGGTGATCACCAACAACAACAACAACATTGCAACTAATTATCAATCGGGCAATGGTGCAATTTCCCAAGTATCAAACGGTGCTACTGGTGGCATTGGTGGTGGTCATTTCAAAGTGGTTCATCCTCCTTTGTTATTGGATACGGAAACAGCATCAAGAGTAATTGAACAACAATTATTGTTTAATGGATCAAAAAATGAATCAGGTTGTAAAACTGGTGCATTGTCATTTCAATCGAACGTATCGTCAAACAGCCAGTCTAAATTTGATAATAATAACTTCTCTTCCGTTTCGAATAATAATAATACAATCATCACATCTAATAATAGTTCATCAGAATTGAAGGCAGCAAAAACAATGTTAGCAATAGCATCGGCTGCATCCGGTGTCGGCACATCTGCATTGATTGGGGGTACTACAACTGGTAGTACAGGCAATGAATCAAATTGTAGTACTGGAAGTACTAAAAGTCATCATAGTGATTCCGGTTCAGAAACAGCTTCGGATGATGAAATTCATCATCATCATCATCATAATGTTGGCCAAAATGAACAATCATCGAACAATAATACTACTATGAATACTTCATCTTTGACTTTCTATCCAAACAGCAGGTCGGCAACGATAGCAATGAAATCAATTGTTGAAAAGAATGATAATAATGAAGATGTTAAACCATTAAATCTAAGTTCATCATCATCATCATCAAATACCGCCACCAGTAATCAGTCTTCAACAACAACAGCAACATCAAACAATAATAATAATAATAATAATAATACTATGGAACGAACTATAACTCGTTCAAATCAACAAATCATTGATCATTATATTGATAAATTTTTAAGTTCTGGTCAAATTTGTGGTTCGTATTTGATTGTTTTGCGAACCATTCATTTTTACTAATTTTACTTTTTTTTAACTTTTAGATTTTAAACCAATGCCACCAAATCTCAATTCGATTAATGGCAATTCTAATTCTAATAATAATAATACACAATCATCATCATTATCATCATCTTCATCAACAGCAACATCTACTACAGCTGGTGTATTAAATCTGACAACACCGACATCAAATTCATTATCAACAACAACAACAACAACTAATCAATCCAATTCAAAATTTTTATTGGTTGCCAAAGATTTTAGTCTACGATCAATCACCGGTGTTGGTAGTACGGCTGCTAATGCTTCTGGTAGTAATAATCTCAATCAAATGGGCACAAAAAGATTACATTCAGATAATCAAGTATTGATCGTAAATAATGGATCTCCGGGAAAAATTCTATCAACTTCAACTACAACACCTACCACAGCATTGTTAATGAATTCATCATTGTCAGCAAAATCATCGACAAAATTGACTAGTACGGAATCGTTGCCATCAAAACGCTCAAGAATTAATGGAACTGTAATTGGTGTTAATGAAATGATGGCTGCTATGGCTGCTGCTGCTGCTAATGCTAATGCCAATAATAATAATAATAATCATGCTATTAATCAAGGTGGTTTTAGCAATCAACTGGTCACTGATAATGGTCATTCAAAATTTGTTACTGGATCATTTGATTTGGAAGAACATATTCGAGCATTACCACAATTGGATAATAATCATTTGGTAAATGCTCTTCATCTTCGTAATCAACATGAATTGACCAAAACAACAACGTCATCATCGTCGTTGACTAACAATAATACCACCAGTTGTTCCAATACGAATCCAACATTGGTGATTGTTCAATCGAGTAATACAAATGCTCAAAATTTAACTACTTCGACATCATCTTCATCATCGACATTGGTCAAAACTGTTCTTTATCCAACGACGATGGCCTCTACGAGCAATGGACAACAACAATCACATTCCGCATTTGTACCTATATCGACAGCAACATCTTCAATACAACCGGAAAATCTTAAATTAAATCTTAATGGCCAAAAAATAACCTCACTAATTGGCACTACCAAATTATCTCAGCCACCAATATCATCATCATCATTGTCATCGTCAACAGCAACATCAGCAGTTAATCTTACCATTACGACACAATCATCCACATCAACAAACAATAATGCATCATTATCACGACCGACAACTATCACCGCCACGAATACTACTTCATCGTTGTCTTCCGAATTGAATATGGATGCATTGCCTTTACGTTTGGCTACAGCGGCTACTGCCGGTGCTATACCGACTACTGTTACATCAGCTTCAGCATCGGTATCGCCAAGAATGCCACAAAGCCCTTCTGTTGTTATCAAATTCGGTACCGGTCAAACGATTCCGGTACAAACATTGGATGGCAATCTAGTTTCAATTGGTTATATAAGTAAGGCGGCCACCAATGCTGCTGGAAATGTCTCGTCTGGAGCTTCAACCATAGCTCAACCAATTATAATGACAACGGCTCCATTGGTTGGCCATTCAAATAATAAACCGATGGATCTAAGTGTTGCGATATGTTCATCATCATCATCATCAGCTACACAGCAACAACAATCATATCTTACATCAACGAATGCTGCCGCTGGAACCACTGCAGTGATAACATCATCATCAGCTGCAGCGGTAATGGCTGCTGCTGCAGCTGCATCATCGCCAACACCATTGTTGTTGTCAATTTCCCCTCATTCATCTCAAAGGATCTCGTTGCCACAAACAGCAGCCGCAGCAGCACCACAACCACCACCAATAACATCTGTAACAAGCACTCTATTGACATCTGTATCATCCGTTATGTCATCATCTTTATCATCCACATCATCGTCGTCATCAGTGATACCACCAATGGCAACATCACCAGCTTCTTCGACTACATCATCATCATCTGGTGAATCGGCAAATATTCTATCCACAGTAATCTCATCACAAGGTTCGATCAACCAATGTGATGGTCTTGCTGCATTAGCTGAAATTGCTCTTCAGCAGGCTAATCGCTAATAATGTTGATTATGAAATTTATCAAGATAATATCAATTGATCCAAGATGAAAATAAACTGAAAAAACGAAATCTCCCGCCGCCACCACCGCCTTCCTTATCTCTTTTTAAATATTTCATCAAATCAGAACGAAGATTCTCAAAATGAAAAAAATATTTAATAATTTGGTGCAAACAAACATTTATTATCTATTCTCGGCTTGATCCCAAATCAATTTTTCTATTATTTTTTAATCGAAATTTTTTTTAAATATATTTAAACAAATCAATCAACGATTGAATCAACAACAACAACAACAACAACAAAAAATGAAACAAAACATTATCGTTGAGATGGCCAATTTCAATCCAAAAAATCAAATCAAATCTAAATCATCTTATCTATATTTGGTGCATTTATACATTTTACATCCTTTTTTTTCTCACATTGAATTGGAAGATAATTCTCATTACATAATATTTATATAAATATTATCATCACATCGTAATATACACATACAAAAATTAATGGCAAAAATTCACTCTTCTTCAACTTTTACTATTTTTTTTTCTATCTAAAATGAATGAATCAACTAAAACTACGTATATATAGAACTGAAAAGTTTGGCGAAAAAAAATCTCCTTTTTTTAATCATCAAACATTAATAATAATTTTGGGAATTTCTTTTCAAAAAAGAATCCAAACAAAACAAAACAAAACAAATGAAATTTTAAATTCTAAATGTGTCATCCATTTTTGTCAACAACAACAACAACAATAAAAAAATCAATGAAAATTTATTTCATCCACCCACACACTCTTCATCATTTATTGATTCTCATCATCACCATCATCATCATCATCATCATCATTCATGATCTTGAAATTTTTGTTTGTTTCTTAGAATCTCATCATTTATTGATCGATTGAACATACACACACACACACACATACACTTTAAATTATTTTTCATCCCTCATTTCAAAAAATGATTCTCACTGATTATTTGATGTTTTTTTTCTCTCCAAAAAAAAAAATACACAATAATGTATAAATATAGGATTCTTTCGATTTGATTCTTTTTTTTGCTAATTTTTTTCGAATCATTATATAATTCTTTTGTTGATGATGAAAAATTTTTTTCAATTTCTTCCCACATACACACACACACAAACACACGCACACACACACACACACACAGACAAACACAGTCTTTCTTTTCATTATTATTATTATCATCATCATCATCATCATTATATTTACACATTGGCGGCCATTCTTAATAGAACGCAACAATAATATACATCACATACACACACAGCCGCTTATTACATTGTTTTTTTTGTTTGTTTGTTTGTTTTCGTTTTACAATATCTAATCTGATAATTCATCACCATTGTTAATGTGAATGAAGATCAAAAATAATACTAATGATGATGATGATGATGATGGTGATGAACAAATGGTGAATCATGAAATGAATGATGATGATGATGATTTTTCTTTTTGAAAAATAAGTAAAATCCATATTTTTAATATTTTTTATCTTCTTTCGCGATATATCACATACATACACACACACACACACACACAAACAAACATTGATCAATTTTTTTTTCATTTACATTATATTTAGTATATATCTCTATTTTAAAAATTGTGATGATTCTAGATTTATTATATATACAACAAAATAAATAAAAACCAACCAACCAATACAATACAATACAATACAATACAACAAAATATAATGATGATATTGGCGCTATAGATGATAATGGATGATTCTCATTTACATATAAAAATATAGGATGATGATTGAATTTTGATTTCATTTTCTTCTTCTCTTTTTTTATTACTACGTTTTGCATATGCAAAAATCATAAATATAATAAATGGAAAAATTTTCATTTCAAAATTTTTTTTTTATATATAAATTATTATTATTATAAAGGCCTGGTGATCATTGATAAATTTTTTTTTAATTGATTGAAAAATTGTGGATGATGATGATTTGAAAATGATCAACCGATGATGATGATGATGATAATTTATATGTCAAATTTCTTCTCCTGTCTTTTAATATATATCAAATAAGAATCGTTTTTTTTCATTTTTTTTCTTGCTGATGTGAATTTTTTTTTCTAAACATTATTCTTTCTTTTTTTTCACCTCCTTTCTCTCTCTCTCATTATTATGATTATTATTATTATACCACCATATTTCTTCTTATATTAATATTATTCTTTAGCAAAACGAAAGAGATAAAAAAAATAAAAGTTTTTAATTAATTTATAATTTGATTGATTGATTGATTGATTTTATTTGAAAATAAATAAATAAAAAAAAATTTATTGGATAAAAAATTCATAATAATCATAATTCTTTTATACTACTAGATGGCGATGTTGTTGTTGTTACTGTTGCCGTTGTTGTTTCAACTTGATGATCATTATTATCATCGTTAGATTGTTTGTTCATTTTGTAATAATGATGATGAACATTTCCACCACCATCATCATCAACATTAATCATTATATTCGATGATGATGATGATGATGATGATGGCTGTAATCCTAATCTCCAGCCAATCCATTCAATAAATGTGATCAATATCATCAATAAAATCATTATGGCAATCATTTTGATCATCAATTTGATTGGTTGTTTTGTGGAATTTGTCGTCGTCGTTGTCGTTGCTGTTGTTGTGTTTGATGTAAAATTATATGATTCTAAACTTTTGTTTGCACACATTATTATTGGTTATTGATTGTGATGATAAAATTGTCCACATAAGAACATTCTTTTGGTTCGAAATCGAATTATTTGTACATTTTTTTTTCTTTCGAATCCTTAATTTTTCGAATTTTTTTTCTCTTATTAGTTCGAAGAACCTATATATGGTTTCCCTCTTACTAATGTTATGAAATGTTTTTTTTTGGTTTTCTTAGCTTAGGTCAATGTCCATATGGCCAGTCAAAAGTCATTTGCCTTTAGTATTTTAAAATCATCATCATTAATTATTAAAAGCGTTGAAAATGTCATTCTTTTGGGAAAAAAACTAGTCAAATCTGGCCAAACTACTATTTGCTTTCTTTTTCTGCAATATCAGAACTAATTTATATAATTTAATTTAAATATATGGATGCGGAAGAAAAGTTTTTTTTTCATTTTTTTCCATTGTCTTATCTTTTCGTGTTATCATCAGAATTCAAGATAATAAAGGTCAATAATGGCATTGATTGAATGATTCCTGTGATAACTTATGGCTAATAATAATTATATCGATTGGTCATTGAAACTTGTAAATTTTTTTGTTTTCAAAGTTCAAGAAAAAATGTCAACAAAGTTTTTTGCCCCCAAATCATACGAGAAAAAAGAGCCTCTATCTCTCTCACTCACCGATGCATTATCGATATAAATTCATCCATTGGTCTTTTTTTTCTCGGAATCGAATGTCGTAATGTAGGACCAGTTGTTTTTGGTGGTGTGTGTGTGTGTGTGTGTGTGTGTGGAGAAGAGAAAAAATCGCATTTCTTTGTTCATCACAACCTGAATTTGAACCTCTCGTTGCTGATGATGATAATAGAAATATAACTTGATTTTTTTTTGTTTCTTCGTTCCGATAAATCTTGCTTGTCCGGTTCAGCTTTTTTTTCATATTCATTTGTTATTTTTTTCATCTATCTAATTATTATTCTTGCAATTCAGCAAACAAACAAACAAACAAACACATGCCATTTTGAAATGGCCTGTATAAAAAGGTTGGTTGATGATAATTTTTTTTTTGTAAATGACCAATTGATGATCATCCGTCATTACAAATACATTTCATATGGTGGTGGTGGTCAATAACATCTGAATTGATTGTTTGAAAATAAAACTTGTGAATATGATCCGTTTCATGATGACTTTACAATATTCAATGGTAATATTGATGATTACCATAATAATTTTATCGTTATCAATCACTCAATGTCATCGAATGGAACGATCATCGAATGCATTGAAATTTATATCGCGTTCATCCGATATTGATGATAATGATCCATTTCGATTGGATCGAAACATTGCCATTGCTTGTACGAATCGTTATAATTGTGAAAAAACCTGTATACGTGCTAAATTAGCTAAACAAACAACAAAAGCATCATTAATCGATTCATTAACCCATAGTATTGGTGAATCAACAATGACCGATGCACATAAACTTGGTATACAATTTGGTCGACATAAATCATGCGATAAATGTTCATTAATTTATTCGAATTGTCTGGATGATTGGTATCGTATTGCACGGCGACAATTATCTGATTATCGTAACCAAGATGGATCATTACCTGCGATGATGATGATTATGGCTAACGAAGAGAATCAACGGAATTCAATCTTATCATCATCATCATCATCATCATCGAATAAATCATCAAATCGTTTATAATTGTAAAAATTTTTCATTCATTCAATTGTTTATCACTTTTTTTTGCTTTGATAATAATCTTTTTCCAATCAATCAATGTTTTATTAAATGACGGTCACATACCCACCGAACAAATTTTTTCTTTTACAAAAAAAATCAATCAATTTAATTATTTATAAAAATCGATTTGAATGTAATTGAATCGTACATTTTTTTTTATTTTTTTTATTTCATAATTCAAACATAAAAATTCATATATAAATAGCATTTAAAATAATTTTAAATTATCGTAATTTTCGATTATTTGTTTTTTATTTTGTATTAAAATCTTTTCCACACAAAATGTCGTCAACAGGGCCAGAATCGGGAAAGCATTTATTATCGATTAAGCTTCAAAGTCCTTCATCAACTACGAATACTACGGATGCAACGACAACAACAACAACAACAGCAACATGCAGCAACAGCAGCAGCAAAAAATACTATTAACGCTGTTAATGCTGGCAATGAATTATCTAGTAAAAAAAATTTGCCAAAAATATCACCACAATTCAATCAGGAAGCATCATTTTGTATGTATTTGGCTGCATTTTCGGCATTACTTGGTGCCATTGGTTTCGGTCTTGGTATTGGATGGTCAGCACCAGCATTTGAACAATTATCACGTAATACAAGTGTACCACATCTATATGAACCAAGAGATTTAAAACTATTAACATGGATTAGTTCATCGATGCCTTTGAGCGCATTGTTTGGTGCTTTATTTTCCGATCTAGTTGTACAAAAATACGGTCGCCGTAAAGCATTGGTCGGTTATGGATTGCCATTTGCAATGGGATGGCTATTGATTATTGCTTCAAATAATGGCTACATGTTTTTGCTTGGTCGAATTATATTGGGTTTGGCCATTGGAGCATTATCTGGTACGGCACCATCATATATTGTTGATATTTCTACCACAAAAATTCGTGGAACTTTAGGAGCATTATTTCAACTTTTTATTGTCACCGGTATATTATTTGCCTATGTTATTGGTGCCTTTCTACCTTGGCGTATGGCATCGGTAGTATCGATTACACCAACAATAATACAAACGATTTTAATATATTTTATGCCAGAAGGACCTAATTGGCTACTACAAAATAAACGAAATGATGAAGCGAAAAAAGCATTGACAAGAATTCGTAGTAGTAAAAGTGATGTTGAAAAAGAATTTGAAATTTTAATGAAAGAATCAAATCAAACAACAACGGCAACATCGAACAATGTTGAAAAGAAAACAGATTCGAAATGGAAATTATATTTTCATAAAAAACATTTAATACCATTATTTCTATCATTAGGATTGATGGCATTCCAACAATTATGTGGTGTCAATGCTGTTATGTTTTATGCAACAGCCATACTTAATGAATCTGGCAGTACTATAACACCAAGTTTAGGTACAATATTGATTGGTCTGGCTCAATGGATTGCTACATTTGCCGGAGCAATAATGGTCGATTTTACTGGTCGTCGTTTATTGTTGATTATTTCGGGCTCAATACATGTGTTTAGTATGTTTGTATTTGGTATCTATTATCAAATGTCAACCGCAGATTTTTTTGGTTGGATTCCCGTCGTAAGCATGATTGTGTTCATCATTGGATTCTCAATTGGCTGGGGACCTGTTCCATGGTTATTGGTGGCCGAAATTACACCACATGAATCGAAAAGTTCAACTGTAGCCATGAGTACTTGTATCAATTGGACATTAGCATTTGTCGTGACTAAAACATTTAAAGAACTACAAGAATTATTAACCAAACATGGTGTTTTCTATCTATTTTCCGCTTTATCTGCTGTAAGCGTCTTATTTGCGGTATTTCTATTACCAGAAACTAAAAACAAATCCTATGAAGAAATTCGAACATTTTTCGAGCGACGACCATCACCAACAAAAGAAACAGCCGGCAAGTTTTCAATCATAGATCTTACAATGAAAGATAGTGATACACTAACACGTTCATCTGATTCGGCTTAATTTAAATATATATTAATGAATGAATATGTATGGGTGGATGTGATATAAAAATTATTTAATTCATCCAAAATGTACAAAATCAATTGCTTCATGAAGATTCATTGATCGTAGATTCTGTTCAAATTGACCATTTGTTAGGCCTAGTTTTACACAAATAACAACTGGTGGTTTTAGATTGGAAAAATGTATAATCGGAATTTTTGGTTTTTCTTTGATACCTTTGATACAATTCTCATAAATATAGAATTTTTTAGCCAATTTTTTCGGATCAACGTCACAAAATGCTTCAACTTTGTTACGATTCTCTTCGGAAAGACATCGATAAAATCGACGACCTTCTTTGCCTGCATTCCATATCATAAATCGATCCCATTTGTTTAGAACATTTTTCTCTAGTTCAGCCAAGCGAATATTCCAGATAGCTTCATCAGTAACCGAGAATGTTGTCGCCTCTTGATGATAACGATATGTAAGCAGAACATCATCAGCTCTTAGGATACCACCACCGTGGTAGATATGTTTATAGAAGAAAATTAAATCTTCTGGAACACCTTTAGGATCAGAATCATCGAATGCACCAATTTTATCGAAACATTTTCGCGTACAAAACCATGTTGGCATCAGTATAGTCGGTCCGAAACAAGTATACACTTGTTTCGTCAATTGATCGGCTGTTAAATTGTTTACCCATTCCATATAACGTTGTGTTGAATTTTCTGGAATACGTTTCACTTTACAGCCAACAATACAATCGGGATTTTTTTACAAAGTTCATATTGTTTACTAATCCTGTCAGCATGCATTATGTCATCGGAATCGAAAAAACATAAATAATTTCCATTTGATTGTGCAATGGCACGATTTTTCGCTCCACCAACACCTTTTGGTTGATCTTTTTCTGGATTTGAATTGATTATCAATCGAATGCCATCATTATTCGAAAGTCGATATCGATTATACCATGAATTGATGATATCCAATGAACGATCTGAAGAACCATCATCATAAATGGACAATTCCAATTGACCATGATCATAATTTTGAGCTTCGATCGATTCAAGACATTCTTGAAGATATTTTTCCGAATTTCTAACACATGTTATTATACTAATCAAATCAGACATTTGAATTTGAAGAAATTTCCACGTGCACTCTACAAATCATAACAAACATAAAACGGAAAATTTTCCGTAAATTTTTTTTGATAATAATGAAAAAAATAATGAAAGTATTCTCAAGTCGAAAAAAATGATAACCATAAATAGTGATTAATTTATTTATTATTCAACTTTTTTCCATCTTTACAGAATATTATCTTGTTTTGCACACATAAACAAACTGATGATTAATCGGGTGATCTGTGAATATTTTTTTTCTAGAATTTTTATTCAAATCGAAATTGGAAATCGAACACAAAAAGTTTTTTTTTTGTTTCAAATTGACAATATATTTTTTGCATGAAAAAGGGCATAAATTGTTGATTGAATGATCATGTTAATTTTGATAAATTATTGCTCCACCACTTGGATTCGTTCGACAAAGAAATTTACATTGCCGTGATAAAGCTGATTCAAAATCTTGAGCATTTTCCTCATATACAAGGCTTACGGTACATCCACCCCAACCAGCTCCAGTTAAACGTGATCCAATGGCTCCATTTTCCAATGCTAATGCCACCAATTCATCCAATTGTGGTGACGAACATTCATACAGATCTCGACAGCTTTCATGTGATTCAATCATCAGCTGACCAAGATGTTCAACATCTTTGGTTGTGTCACAAACTTTTCGAAATTCTTGTACACGATATGCTTCTTCATAAACATGTTTGGCTCGTTGATAAAGTTTAAATTCTTCAATCGGTTCGCTTACACGGGATAGAAATATTTTATGCAATTCATTTGAATCGATTCCTTTGAAAAATAAAGATGAAAAGTTTTAAATATTTGAAACAATCAAAATAATCATTACGAACCAAGTATGGAACAGATTTCGGATTTAGTATAAAATTCTTTTTCCGAATCTAAAATCGATGCCAAATGTTCACCCATTTCTGCTAATGGAATAGCACTTGCCTGTTGTACTACCCATAGTTGATCACCAAGCTTATAACCAGCAATTTTACATCTCCGTGCAATAACAGCAGCTGCCAAACGTGTTTCGGCAACTCGTGTATTATAATGGGCTGTTGCTGCCTTTTGCATTGATACACCACAATGGGCGACAAACCAACAAACACCTTCCGGTAAATCTACATTGGTCGCATTTAATTGTGGAATGAAATCGATAATCTTGGCTGATCCTTCTTCCGCTAACATTGCAATGGCTTGATCCATACCACCCGAATCGGTACCAATATATCGTTCAGATTTAGTGCACAACAAAGCAATGTCCAATTTAGGAATCGGGGTCGATATTTTAACTGGGGTAAATATTAATCAAAAAAAAAATAGTGATTAAACAAACTGAATTAGATTTCTGTCAATCTAGATTCCATAATCTCATTGTCATGTCAAAAAAACGGAATTAATTAATTCAACCAATGTTCAGCTCGAAAATGGATTCTGTTAATTCAATTAATTCAGCTTACATCACTTTCCACTTTGTTATTGGTCAACAAAAATAAATCATATGTCTATGAAGCTAATTTAATGTACGATGATCTTATTTTTATACAATACTTACAAATAGATTGATGGTAAGAGATAAGCGTTGATAATGCTGAGGCACAAACCATTGCCGAAGAACTGGACAAGCCGGATGCAGCAGGTATCGTACCATGAACAAGAACATTCATTGATGGAACTGGTCCATCTATACAATATTTATCTACAATGCCTTTATATCCGCATAGAAAATAGTGATACCATTTTATTGATTTAGGAAATTCTATATCCGATTCTTCGATAGTCACTTCAGGATATTGATTATCAAAATTAGCTAGATGTAATAGACCAGAATCACTTGGACCAACAGCCATCATAATATCCTGGACGACAGCCATTGGTAATACGGAATAGCCACAATAATCAATATGTTCACCAATCAAATTAACACGTCCTGGTACTCGAACCAAAAATAATGGCCGAGATGAACCAAAATGTTTCTTATATTCATTGAATATACGTTGAACACGTTCAGATTGACGTAAATTATCCGGCAAATCAATAACCGGCACTATATTGGCCGAAATATAGTCAGAATCTTCGAATGACATCTATGGAAAGAATGAATTAATTAGTTAGAATTCAAGAATTTTTTTTTTGAAATTTCAATCAACTATACATATGAAATTTAAAACAAACTTTTTGTGGCAACAAAACGAAGAAAAAACTCAAAGCAAATGACAATGACAATGTCAATTTTTTATCGCCTTCACTATTTTTATTCGTCAAGTATTTTTTTTTACCAAATCATATTGATTATTTCATTGATAAATGTCAATGTTTGAAACAATCAATTGATAAATTTATCAAAATGCTTTTTAAACAACCATTTACAAGGAAAATATTGTTCATTGGTCTTTATTGATTATATTCATATATCGTTTATGGTGTTTGTCGATCAATCAATCAATCAATCAATGAATCAATGGCATGATTAAATTGTGATTGTAAATGAAAAAATATTTACTTGTTCGGTTGATTAGTATTAGTGTGAATAATTTGGTAACCACCTTGGTATTTGAATTTGAAAAATTGTCGTTTAATTTAATTCGGTACAGGATGAATGAATGATCATCAAACTTTTATCTATCACATACAAAGATTAATAATTTTTTTTTCATTTATTGCATTAAATTATCTGAAGGAAGAAAATGTTATAAAAAAAAGCTCGAATCAAATCAAAAGATGTTGTTTGTGGATGGTTAAATTTCTGCAAAAAGATTGTCGTCACAAGATTGAAATGATTGAATAAATTATTTGAAAAATGGAATGATTTGATTTGTCCGATACGATATATAATAATAATATATAAAACAAATAATGAACAAAAGTTTCAATGTCTCATTCAAGAAAAAAAAGTATGTGATTGCATTTGTCATATAATACTGCTGCTGCTGCTGCTGTTGAATCGTTGTTTGTAATGAATCAATTCATCAATTTTGATAATAATAATGGATAAGCAAGTCAATTATATAAACAACTCTTTTTCTGATATATTGAATGAACAATATGGGTAGTGGAATCGAACAATTGAATTCAACAATAACATGGCAGCATAGAAAAATAATGATAACAAAAATAGAGAGGGCCAATATTGGCTAGCCGAAAATGGAATTTTCGTTTGTCATCCATACAAGGTTCTATATAAAGGGAAATGTTCATCATTTTGATGCAGACGATGTGTTTGATAATGATAATAATTCGTTTCATGACTAAATCGAATACATCATAATACACTGCAGTTACACACACACACATTGAATATAGACTCTTCGTGTTCCAATGGTTTTTATCAAAATATCCATATAATAAATGTAGTTAGCTATATAGAATGTATGTAATAATAATCACAGCTATTTTTCTATTTCGTTTGGTCTTGCGGACATCCCGTCATCTTTCGACAATTGATTTCATTCTTTTGAACGAAATTCATCCAGTTTGTTTTGAGTGAAAAACATTTTAAAGTTTCATTTTTTTTTTGTTTTATTCTCGAGAGAGAGAAGGAGAGAGAGATAAGGCGTTAAAAACTTTTCTTTTTGACGATAAATTGACCAGCAATGAATTCATTCATTCGATCAAATCGTTGGTTTTCTCGTTGATGAATTGACGATAGTTTTTTTTCACTGTCAATAGATGGCAGCGCTTTCATAAATTTTAAATCAAATACCGGCAATTTTAGCCCATAATTTTATTATTAAATGAATTGAAAACTATAATCAGTTCTTTAATCCGAGTTTAATGAAAATAAAATATTAAAAGAAAAGAATATGGTCCAAACATTTGATGAAATAAAAAAGCGATCGTCATTATCGTGTCACATTAAACAAGATACGAGCGATTATTAATATCGTAATGAAAAATACAAGGCCAGCAATAATGAAAAAAATAATTAGCATTTCAGGTGTATCCATTATGAATGCTACAGCATTAGGTAATCGTGTTGTTGTTGTAGATGATGATGATAATGATAATCTTAATAATTGTCGACAATGAATCTCTTTTTCATATGGTCCAATACAACTAGCAAATCCAATTGCATGTGCAATAAATGATTGTTCTAATGTACCACCAAAAAGATGCGACATCGGACCGATACCAAATATTGCTACATCTTCACCTGAATGATATGATTTTTTTGTCGGCATAGCCGAATGAAATCGATATTTGAGATCATCTGAAAAATTTAATGCAAAGTCAAATGATAATTGAATTGATTATAAAATAACACAAACTTACGTGTAGCTTGTTCTAGAGTAACATTAGTCATATTCGAACGTTGAATAGTCGTTTGAAATCCTGGACCACTTGTATATGATAATGTTGTGAAAGGCAATTGATTGCCATCTTTACGTCGTGATAAACCATTAATTCGATTACCACGTACAGAATAACCATTAATCACTAATGGCTGTGAATGATCAGCCGTAACAAGAAATAATGTATCTTGTTTTGGTAACAATTTACGTGCCTTTCGTATGGCACGATCAAATTCCAAAACTTCATACAATGATAATGATGCATAGCCACGATGATGTGCTTGATCAATAAGACCGCCTTCGACCAGCAAAACAAAACCTTTATCATGTTTAGATAAAATTCTTATAGCTGCTTCAGTCATTTCGGACAATGAAGGTTCACCATCAATACTACGATCACGTAATTGATCGAATTCCATATGAGAATAATTGAATAAACCAAATAAAGATTTAATCTTGGAATAATTTAATGTTCGTAAACCACGAGTACTGTTGACGTAACCATATTCAGTTTCATTCAATCCTGAATAACGTTGATTTTCTAGCCATTCTTCAATCAAATTTCGACCATCTTTTCGTTCGCCAAATTTTTCTTTTTCTTCACCATTAATTCCTCGAGGATCTTTAATGAATTCGGGCAAAAAACCTTTACGGCCACCACCAAGTATAACACTTAATCTTTTACCCGGATCATTTTCGATCAATTGCAAAGCAATATCTTTGCATTCTGTTTCACTCAGGGTTCCATTTATGATCGATTCATCAATGTTGGATTCCCATTTTCTATTCTGTATATGTGCATATGCAGCAGCCGGTGTTGCATGTGTAATACGAGTTGTTGTAACCACACCAGCCACTTTACCAGCATTCAATGCCCAGGTAAATATTGAATCAATCGAATTTCGATTAACGGAATCACAATCAGGATCATTACGTTTTACTTTGGCCGAAACACCTATTGTATTGAAATTATTTTTAACACCGGATAAAAATGCTGTAGCTGTGGCAGCCGAATCCGGTATTTGTTGATCAACATTATAGGTCTATAATATAACATGACAATTTAGAATTGGTAATATTATAAGCAATCAATGAACCACTTACCTTAATTAAAGCTGTGAAGGGAAAATTGTCCATTTCAAGCATTGCTTCTTCACCTTTACGAAGCTGTTGTTGGCCTTTAAGAATACGAGATGCAGTGATAGTACTGATGCCCATACCATCACCAAGAAATAATATCACATTTTTAGCTGCTCGATTCGGTATCGGTACCGAATATTGTCGTTGTTTAAGATTTCGATATGCTTGTACATACCAATATAATGGATCGGTTTCATCGAAAACATTATTATTATTATTATTATTGATGATTTCATTAAAATTATTATCATTTAATCTGGAAACAACAATCGAAGATCCCACCACACCTGACAAAATAAATGCGGTCAAACAGAACATTCGAAATTTCTTGTTATTGTTGTACGTTTGTCAATGTTCGATTTGATCAAAAGAATTATCAACTTTTGAATGGTGGATATAAAAATATTTTCATATTGATCACAGGCTTTTTATAACATGGATGAATACAGGAAACCCAAAATAAAAATGAAATGTATAGGAAAACAAAAAATGAATGATAATAATGATCGAATATATACACACACACACAACATATGCACATGCAACATGTTGGCACGTCAAGTTCATTGAAAAAATTGACATTGTCTTGCTGTTGGGATAGCTGACACCAAAAAAAAAACAATCTTGTCTTTAAGCATTGTTGTTGCTGTTGTTATTCGATTTCCTTTCATCCTTGATCATTGATTATGTATGTATTTCTATTTTTGAAGAAAAAAAAATGACATTATAGACTATTGAATAGATCAAGAAATGAAAAAAAATAATGGTAACTAATGGCGTTCAATGATCTTCAACGGTGATGTTGATGATGATGATGATGATGATGATGATAATGATCCATGATCAGAACAATATTGAAAAAAACATAATCAATACATTGATCTACCTAATGTGTTAAAAGATCATTGAAAAAAAAAGAATGCTAAAACATTGAACACGGCCAATGATGTATGTAGAATGAAGAAAAAAGGTTTTTTTCTGTCAATGTAAAAACTTATTTCTTCCAAAACACACACACACACACACAAATCACCTTGTTCATTTTATCGAAGAAAAAAAAATCGAGACTTACATTTTTTTTGTTCTTGTTAAAATTCAATTTATAATAATTTATAATTATAATAATCATCAAATAATCAAGAATAAAGATAAATATTTTACAAAATTGTAATTATTGTTTTTTTTTTTTTGGTTTGGTTTAGCGTTTTTAGTTTGTTTGTTTGTTTGTTTGTTTGATCAATCGAACAGAAAAACTTTTGATCGACCATACACATAATCAATGACAATGATTGATGATGAGGGGCGTATGTTTGTCGAAACATTATTATCAAACACAAATATTATATAATGGATAATAATATTTTCAAAATACAATTGGTCATCAGATGATTGAAATGATGAATGAATGAAAAATCGGGACATGAAAATCAGCCATAAATTTTGTTTTTTATATAATAAAATGACAATAATAATAATAACACACACACACATACACACACATAACTTGTCAACAATGGGAAAAGCACGGATTTAGATAAGATTTTGGGGGTGGTGGTGGTGGTGGTGGTAATGTTTTGTTTGTTTTTTTTTCATTGAAAAAATTATCAGTAGGGTCCCACATAACGACAAACAAAAATGTCGAATGTTTGAACCAATTATATTTGTTTCTTGTGTAAATGTGTCAATCAACCGTGTAACATACATCAAATGAATGAATAATGGCAATGGGAAAAAAATACAAAAAAAAACAAAACGAAATCAAAACAGCCAAAATACAAATGATGATGTTTGATATCACCGGATATTCTTGGTTGAACAATACGATTTTGTTTTTGTAGTTATTGATTTAAAAGAGGTTTGAAAGTGAAAAAGGAAAGAATTTAACCAGGAAAAAAAATTGTCAATAGTCATGTCTGTTAACAGGAACCAGATTGAACGGTATTTATGGGGGCAATTCAATTTATATAAATTGAAAAATTTGCATATCTTCTTATTTATATCGATGTAATTTTTTATGTAAATAATTTTGTTGATGAAATAATGTGTGTGTGTGTGTGTGTGTGTGTGTAATAATGTTTCAACTGTTTAAGTAAAAATTTTGGTTGAAGCATTGAGACAAATCTATATTTTGATTCGATGATGATTCTATGTATACCGTATGTTTCTGTTTGTATTGGCGTGTGTGTGTGTCTGTTTCTCATCGTTTGAAATCAAATTATTTAATTGGAAAATTATAATGACACTTTTTTTATGCATGAGAGGATTGGATTTTGTGCATTATTATTATAGGAAAAAGGAAGGGGTGTGTGTGAGTCTGTTTATAATATAAATCCCGTACCATCAAATGGATGTGTGTGTGTTGTTTAGTTATGTACTCATCGCGGTATTTGGAGGAAAAAGAAAGAAAACAGCAACAAATATTAAGACGAAACAAGCGAAAGAGAGAGAGAGAGAGAGAGAGAGAAACAGAAAAATGATTAACAAAAAATTTGCTGATTTTTCAAAGTATAACTTCTTTTCTTGAAAAGTTTTACAAGTTTTTTTTATAAGAATTTTGTTGAAATTTATCATTGATGATGATGATGATGATGATGATGATGAGGATGAATGATGTAATGACAGTCAAATGTTATGATGATGAATTTAGATCAAACTCAAACACACATGAATTAATGATGAAATTGGATGAAACAAGTTAAGTTATTGGTTGAATCAATTTGACCTTCCCTTGATTTGAATTTGTCTTTGTTGTTTGTTTGTTTTTTTTCTGTCGATTTAGGCTTAATATGATCTCAGGTCAGGTCAAGTAAAATGTATATGTGATCACAATTAATGGAAATGAATCAAACCGATCAATGACACATATGTTGTTGATTGATCTGTTTGATTCAATCAATTGTTCAAAAAAAATTAGAATATGCTCATTCAGTTTCGGAGAATATTTTCTCTAGTTTTCCTCCTTCATCTTTTTCACGTATACGACGTGTACCAGTTGATCCTATTACTTCGGTGGCAGTTGTTGTTGTTGTTGTTGAAGTTACTGAGGTTACCGATGATGATGATGATCCCGGTTCTGAACCACCCGGTAATGATGGTTCAGTATTACGGCGTTTCATTTTTGATTTACGCAACATTGTGGCCTAAACAATTGTAATGATTTTAATTAAATATAATTAATCAAATGAATGAAGAATAATAACCTTGAGAGCAGATTTAAGTATCACGACTTCACCAGGTGATTGTATCCAAGGTTCGCCGTCCACTTGGACTGGCATATCGGTTAAAATTTTTATTCGAATCTAGAATTTCGATTGATCAATATTGATTCATAATAAAAAAAAGATTGATAATATAATAATGAAGATTGTCAGTGTAAAATACTTACATGTCCACCTTGAGCAATACGTTTTGCACTGCTAAGACCGCTCTGTATTTGTCCCATGTGTACAACACCATTTACACCGACAATTTCTAACATTCCATCATAATGATTTGGTTTCGAAAATTGATCATCTTTTTCTGGTCCCCATGGATTGGCACCAGATCCCCAACTAGTTGTTTTTAAATGAAAAATTATAAATGTGTTATCATCATAATTGATTATTTACCTTAAAATATTTAAAATAATAATTCCTTCGACTTTTGAATCCAATACGACATGTTTACCATCCACTTCTAGACGTATATCTTTATTAAAATTTTGCCATGATTTACGGCTAACCATTTTTTTCAAGCCCATTTTAACATAAACACCTTTATTATGTAATCTGAAATTTGAAAATTTAAAAAATTGAAAATAAATTAAATCAAAATAAATAATAATTTGGACTGAATAACACTTACCGACTATTGAAACGTTCCGGATTTTCTTCACGAGCATTATGAAATCCAAGACAAAGATCGGCATCAATTCCTAGCCCAAAATAATTATTCATAACCATAATGGCTGTACTATCTTCTTGATTCGATGATTGACGTTCACCGGTAGGATCGGCTGAACGACCCGTTTCTTCTTGATGTATAACAACAGTCCAACGATCTAAACGAATCTCTTCAGCATCGATAACATCTTTCAATACGGTTATTGGATCTTCTTGTCCGGTGTATCCAGGACCCCAACGTAAAACTCTAGCCAAATCATTTCCAGTGCCAAGAGGAACAATTGCACATGGAGGTGATTGACATTCAGAATCTTGACCAACATTATCGAGACATTGTAGTACCCATCCAACGGTACCATCACCACCACAGACCAATATTTTATAATCTTGGATGTGTCGGAATACGTACAAACTATGAACAAAATGAATTACAACATTAATCTATAAATATAAAATCCAGTAATGAATAAATAAACATACCCGGGTAATGGACCACCATTTTCAAGGTCATACACTTGATAAGGGTTGAGCAGCTTACGGAATGATGATATCAGCTCTAAACCTTGACAACCACCACTTTTAACATTAACAAATACCAACAAAGGCTAATCGCGAGTAATAAAATAGAATAAAATTATAATTGCAGTTTGTTTGCAGAGGATATAGTCATAATAATCACTTACACGAACACCTTTTGGAACCATTTCGGGCATTATATTTGGTAATAATAAAACTAATAAATTCTTTTCATCATAAACACTTTCTCTTAACATATAATAAGCTTTGACAGCGATATCGGCATTATCATATGTCAATATCATTGAACCATATTCATAATAGATTGGACCAATTTGACGATATTTATATGCTATATTAATGAATGAATGAATATTAAAAAAAGAAAAGTTGGCATGAAACAACAAAAAACGTATCAAAATACTAAACACTTACGTTTTCCAAGGAACTCGACAAGAATACGTTCATAATGACGTTGAGAAAGATTGGCCGGTAGATTACCAACAAATATGGCTACACTTGAACAATAAACTTCATCTACTTGTTGTAAATAGAATCGAGTATTTTCTTTTTGGCGAATCGATTCCTAGATTATTCATAAAGTATTTATGAAAAAAAAGGAAAAAGATAACAATCATTACAAAATACATACTCTAGCCAATCCTTTAATTATGGCCCAAGGACTTTCATTATTATCCATGGTTCGTTCATGAACACCTTGAAAATTGAAAATGAAAATGGTAAAGTTTCAAATTCAAAGTATAATTATTATTAAAACTTACATCCTTTCTCCAACGATACTTCGACTAATCGATAACGATTTAAATCGGATGAATCAAGTCCAAATTGATCTAATGCCTCGACCATTACTTCATCAACACCAGTATCGATTGTTACCGAAATAACACGATAAGTATCGGTGACACTAGAGAAGAAAAAATTTTTAATTTATGAAAAAATATTAGATTTCTAGAATGAATTACTTTAATCGTCCAGGATAAACACGAATCGTTCCTTCATCTGGGTTGGGTGGTTTGTAACGAAAAAATAGACCACATCTTTTGCCTTCGGTTCTAATTAGGCTTTGTACGGGCATAAAATCAGAAATTTCTCTTTCTGGTCGAGCTATATTAATTATTATTAAAAAGATGAGGAGAAATTAATTAAGTAAGCTGGACACAAATTTAAAACACTTACCATAAGCATCTGTTATGATATAATGTCTAGGATCATCATGAATATGAAATGAACGTAAACAAGCAGCTACTATTTGATCTTTATTAGCATTTCTAGATATAGTTATCGTACGATAAGTTTTACGCTTCATTGAAGCATTTCCATCAAATACTTTGATTGTTTCTGTAATGAATACAAAACAATTAATTTGAATTGCTTTACAATCATCATTAAAAACATCAATACCTTCATCTTTGTCTTTGTCTTTGGGCGATGGAAATTCATCAGAATCTTTGTCACCACGTCTATCGAATTCAGGTGTTTCTTCTGGCAATATTCGGGCTAAAATTTCAAATATTATTATTAAAATATTCTATACATCTTTTAAAAAGAATTTAATAATCTTACGTGTTTGTGATTCTTTTTTACGTTGAACACCAATAATAGTTTCTAATGGTACATCGGTACGTGGTATACTGACAGAAAATGGTGGTAACATGATTGATTGTAGCCAACCGAAATTACATTCGATCGATAAATGTCGATAACAAGCTGCATGTGCCTGTGATTCATTCATATATTGATTGATTGATAGATGATTAATTTACATAATGGATTTTTAAAAGACAATAATAATAATAATAATTCACTTACAGTAATACCACACCATTCACAACGCATACCAGCTAAACACTCAGTAGACCAACAAGTTTTTTTACAATAATGACATTTCGAATTAGCTGGAAGATTTCCTTCCCTCCAATGATGAGTTTGAACAACTTCTTTCTGTTTTGAGAAAGAAAAATTCAGAATTAGAATCTGGATAGATAAAAAAAACACTATATTCTGATCAGTGATACGTACGAGCTCTTGTTCCGGTACATAAGTGGCACATTCTTTACAATCAGGTACGCTAAAATCTTGACATTCAACATGTACACAATATTCACATACTTCACATCGAACGGCACTTTGATCTTCAATTCTTTTTCGACAAACATTACAAAATTTTCGTTTTAAATGTCCTTCAGTCCAACAATGTGGTACAGGATTCTATTAATATCGAAAATAAAATTGATTGATTAAAATTGCAGCAAAATTTTCCAATATTTTTTACCTTTATCACATTGGTGGCAACGGTTGAACATGGTGAAACTACAGTTTTTAAACATCGTTCATGTACAACAAAATTACAAACTATTAAATGATTTGATGAAAAAAAAATTGTTAAAATTAGATTTGATAAAATAGAAAGCAAATTCAATTCTACTCTATACCTTCACAAATGAAACCCTGGCCAATAAGACCCCATAACATATCGGTACAATGATGACAATAAGTTGGTTTATGGAATGTTTTCTTTGAAAAATAATGGCCATGACCAAATTGATCATATGGAACACCGGAATCAGATGTTGGGCTAGGATTTTCAACCGTTGATCCGGATATCCGTGATAAGTTTACATTGTTGGCCATGATTGAAAAGAATTTGATTAAATAAGATTTTTCGTTCTATTTATATATAATTAATAATAATTAATAAAATATTCATATAATAAAACAAGATAAAACAGAGTTGATTGATTGAGAGAAACTATTTATATATATGATGATGAATAATGATGGAAAAATCAACTTGTCATAAATGATCCAAGATGAATGTCACAAATGTTTAACTTTCTTGTTTTTCTCTTTTGTTAATTCATTTGATGTTATCGCAGCAATTTTATATGGATTCTTCAAAAAAAAAAAAAAAAAAATAATAAACACGAATGAAAAAAAAATGTGGATTGAGCTTTTTTTTCCCGTCTACTTTGCTTGCTATTTTAGTAGAATTTTTTTTTTTATTTTGGTTTGCAATTTCCTGATGATAATAATAATAATTGATGATGATGATTGTTGTTTGTAGATCGAATCGATGATGAACAATGATTATAGGAGAAAATGCATTAGATTAGTAGTTTTTTTTCTTTGGAGAAAATGAATAAGAATTTACCATTCTTCTTTGAATGTATATGTGTGTGTGTGTGTGTATGTTTCATCAATACCAATAATATATTTCTATGTTTTGGCACAATTCGGAACTTTTCTCACTGGTCTTGGCTTTGGTTTAAGCTAATTTTCAGGTATTTTTTTTTGTTTGATGGATGAATATGAAAATTTTCAATGAAAATAAAAATATTCTTTTGAATTGTTGTTGTTATTGTTGTTTTTGTTGTAAATTGGTTGGCAGCGTTAAATGTTATCAATTCACATATATTTAATTTTGACGCAAATTTTTTCTATCAAAAAAAAAAATATATTTGAAGCGATTAAAATGAATTCATTATTCGTATTCGGATCAAATTTTGGAATGGTTTTGTTTATTGTTGAATGATGATTAAATTTTCAATGACGATGGCTAAGGGTCTTCGAGATCATCCAAAGCGAAATGAAAATTGTTATAATCATCTGTCGATAGCCAATCGAATTGCACAGCCAAAACAAAAAAAAATCATATTCATCATCAACTGAAACAATAAATCAACTAATCGACATCACATTTTGAAACAGATTCACATACAAAAAAAAATTTCAATTTCATCTTGATGGTTTTGTTTACGAACTTAATTTATGTGACGATGATGAGTATGACCACCAATTTGTTTGAAATGTTGACCGCCATCGATGAATGAATAAATGAATGAATGAATGAATGAATGATGATGATGATGATGAGCGAAACAAAACAAAAAATAAAAACAAATGAGAACAAAATGAATTCAGCAATCACAATTGTTATACGGTCTCATATTATGTGTGTCAGTCACATTAATAATCATCATCATTTGGATGAATTGAATTTTTATAAACAAAAAAAAATGTTGATCATTCTTTTCTAAAATCATCATCATCGTCATCATTACAATGGTGGTGATCATGGTGATCATCATCATCATCATCACCATCACCATCATTTAATCATTATAATCCTTATTCAATTTTGTATTATGTAACTTTCAACAAATAAATATTGTCCTATGATGACACTTGGATTCTTGATTCTTTGATTTTTTTCTCTCTCTCTCTCTCTCTCTCTCTCTCTTTCTCACTCACTCACTCACTCTCTTTTTTTTCCATTCTGGTTCTCTTTATCACTCATTCAATTTTACTCATTTTTATTCTTGGTTGTAGAGTGTGTGTGTGTTTCGCGTTTTTTTCATTATTATTATTCTTCTTTTCATTTGGTTTCAGGATGATGATGATGATGATGGTCTGTGTATGTGCGGATTTTTTGTTGGTTAGGTCGATGTGAAAGTATAATTTTTTGGTCGGTTTCTCATTCTCCATCACACATATACACATACATAGTATTTCCTAGTTCTTCAATATATAGAAAATCGATTCAGGAGCCTGGCTTTTTTTCTCATTTTCATTTGCTTCTTGGTCGTCAATTCTGGCTTTTCCGAATAGAAAAAGGAAAAATTCTCATTCCCATTATAAATACAGTAATACATTTGTGCATAGCAGAATTTGCAGTAAATAAAAACATTCCTCAAATGCTGGCTGGTCGGTCGGTCGGATATGATATGGATAGAATCGACACAGTTTTTTTTTCGTTTGTTTCACCAGACCTAACTTTCATTCATTCCAAACAAACAAAAAAGAAGTTCTACTGCTCTTTAGTTGACGGCTACTACCACCAGAATTTCTTGATGATCATGCTCCGAAACCAATACAAAAACATACAGGATCTAATTGGAGAAACAAATAAAAAAAGATTAGTTCACAACAACCACCACCACCACCACCATCAATAGTTCATATAACAAGAATCGTAAATTTTTATTTGGTCGTCTTGGTTAATGTCCTGTTATATATCTTGTGTACGCAATAGATATATGGAGAACAGAAACAAAAACGAAATTTTTTTCTCCTATAGAAATAATTCAAAAACAAAACAAAAAAAAACAACAAAAATTTCATGTTCATAACACCTGAAAACATTGGATAAATTTTTAAAAAAAAAAAAAATATGTCAACGCTTATAACTGGGAAAAATATAAACGATATCGTTTCATGCAGCAGTTTGAATTCAGTTTTTTTTCCACATCATTAAAGATTAGATTAGATTGCAAATTTTGATACGAATCATAAATCAATATAATTCAAAACACTACTAATACATTTTCATTGATCTATAAATCTAAATGTATTTTTTGATTCAATCAAAAAAAAAAAAAAAAAAAGAAAACTAATCATTAACCAGAAAACTATTTTTGATTTTATTCAAGTTTTTTTTTCATTTGTAACTAAAATCATTTTCATTATATAAATATGGACAAAGCGGGAGAGAGAGAGACAAAGACAAAGACAATTCAACCGACCGACCGACAGACCAACCAAAAATAAAATAGAGAATCCAGAATAGAAAACCATATATAGATTTTTTTTTTACTTGGGCCCATTACCATTTAGTAAATCGATGATGGTAGTGGCAGATTAGATGTCAGCAGTAACAACAGAACAAAAAAAAAACAAAAATTTTAATGATAAATTTTTCTCTGCTATCATCATCATCATAATCATCTCTCTATATATATTTAGTTTGTTTGTTTGTTTGTATGTCATAAATATATATATATTATTCTCAAAATTCATGATGAATGAATGAATGAATGAATGAATGAAAATGTCAATCAATGAATTGAAAAAAACAATTTTCTTGTCTTGTTAATATATATAAAAATAAATGGCTTTGCCACCACCCAAAAAAAATCACAAATGACAAAATTGGATGAATGTTTTGTTACAATCGATCGATCGATCGATCGATCGATTGATTGTTTGTTTGTTTGTTTGTCGGATTCAAAAAATCAATTGTCTTATTTTTTGATTAATTATGATTTGAATTTGTTTTTTTTTCACTTCAATTCAGATTCTAAAATTCTTAATAAGAACGCAAAAAATTATTTTTCATTTGATAGATTAGATATGATTTTGTTTTTCTGTTTGGGTTCAATTTTTATATATATATATTATTCTCAAAATTCATGATGAATGAATGAATGAATGAATGAATGAAAATGTCAATCAATGAATTGAGAAAAAAAAACAATTTTCTTGTCTTGTTAATATATATAAAAATAAATGGCTTTGCCACCACCCAAATGAATAAAAAATCACAAATGACAAAATTGGATGAATGTTTTGTTACAATCGATCGATCGATCGATCGATCGATCGATTGATTGTTTGTTTGTTTGTTTGTCGGATTCAAAAAATCAATTGTCTTATTTTTTGATTAATTATGATTTGAATTTGTTTTTTTTTCACTTCAATTCAGATTCTAAAATTCTTAATAAGAACGCAAAAAAATTATTTTTCAGTTGATAGATTATATATTTGATTTTGTTTTTCTGTTTGGTTCAATTTTTTTCCAGCCGTTGTCGTCTTCTTTTTATTCGATTTTTTTTCTTTGTTACATTTTTTTTTAATTATGACCATTGTTGTTGCCTTGGTATTATTTATATATACACACACACCACCACCACACACACACACAGACGGAAGAAAATATAACCAAAATTTCATTTTGGCTTTTGTGTAAAAAACGAAAATTGATTTTTTTTCACTTTCATTTTCTTGAAATATGAATATATATAGGCAGATGTCATTTGTAAGCCATTCTCGTCGTCTATTTGAAAGTTTCAATTTTCAATAAAATTATTCTTAAAAAAAATAAATAAATAAATGGTTTTTTCAGGAAAGCAAACCATTTTTTTTCAATTGACCGAAAATTGAATATATATCCTTTATTCATTTTTCAAATTTCTTCTTGATTTGTGATTTATATTAGTCTTCGATTATCAATCCACACGCGTACAGCAGATAAAGCAATGGACGTGAAAAGAAAAATGTGTGGAACCAACCAGCTGTGTCACAGAAGATGATTGTCAAATGTGGTTATATAAGAAAAAAAAAACCATCAATATACCAAGATATAACAGTAATAACAATAAACGTATATATATGTAATGTGGTGGTGGTGGTGGACGAAAAACACACACACACACAAACATTAAGTATGTTTTTATGTTACTATATTACTTACTATATTTTCTGAGATTTTTATTTCTTCCAGTGTTTATCTCAATTTCCTTCGTTGACGTTATTTGAATGGATTCGGGATCATCTTTGGAATTGTTGTTGTTGTTATATATATGGTTTAAATTGATAGTTTTAATAAGCTTTGTCACATAATTGATATTTTTTTCGAAACACTAATGGATATACCATGAAACATTATGATGACCATGTTTGTGTGGTCATTTATGGATCAAAGTGGCTAGTTTTTGCTGAAGTTTGTAAAAAAAATATCAAAATGAGTATGATGTTCAATTTTGTTGTACTTACCAGCGACATACACACATATCTCTTCATTGGTCGGATATCAAAATTGGATGCCGTTCGATAATGATAATAATGAATGAGCCAAATCGATAACAATTTTGTCCCGAAAAAAAAATCAATAATATTTTGTAATCGATTCATGTTTTAGTAACTAGATTTTGGATGAAACAATTTTTTTTTTTTGTACCATCGACTATCGATAGTTTTTCGAATGTGTAATAAATGAATCATCATCATCAGTTATACTATTTTACACTCAAATGAAACCAGATGGTATTATCTTGTTTGATTGTTTTTCGAGAAACATCTGAAAAAAATGAATTAAAAAAAAATTATTATTCAAAGAATCGCTATTTGGAATTTTATCATTCGTCTTTTACTCATTTTTAAACATATATACTCACACTTTAGTTATTCCAAATTACAAAAAATGAATTATTAAATTAATCATAATTAATTGATGAAAAAAAATGTTTTGTTACTATCAATAAGTTATTCAGGCCAAAAAAATGTATCATCAGTCGAGAATTATTCTTGTCATCAAATGAAAAACTTGTCATATGAGAGAGAGAGAGCAAGGGGAAGAGAAACAGCAGAACAGAGAAAAAATTCCATCATCATATTTTTTTTGTTCAGTAGCAGCTTGTCATGCAAAATTTCCATTTTATTCACAATCAGCGAATAAAAATTGTTACCATAATCGAATTTTCTTTGGAGAATTGAATGAATGTGAAACAATTATAAATTTAATAATAACCAAAAATAAAACAAAAAAAAAAAAATGAGAATCGAATCACGTGGTGATGATGATGATGATGATGATGATGACATAACTTAATTCCAAAGTGATGATGCACCGGAATATATAAGAAAATTCAAACAAAATTCATCACTGAACAAGAAAGAAAAAAAAATCAAATGATCAATTGATCAAGAATTTAATGAAATAAAAATCAAATTAAAGATGGTTATATAAATGTTAATCAATCAATCAAAGATAATCTTTTTTGTCATATAGTCGACGTTTAATGTTTAAATTCGATTATTAAATCTCATTTGGATTTGATGATGTATGAGTGTGACAAACACTACCATCTGGTGGAATAAAAAATTGCACAATTTAAAAATTTTATTTTTTTATTACTTAAAAAAATTGTATGTATAAAACAAATTGTACAAAAATCCATATATTTAGTTTGAAAATAAATATAAAATTACAAGATATGCAAAATATAAATCTTCATACAAATATCACAATTCATATATTATATATTTTATTATATATAGTGAATAAAAATGATTTACATGTTATTTACAATAGAATTAGTTTTTTTTTCATTCATTTGGAAAATGAAAAAATAAACACACCTTTTGATAAGTATATCACATTTTATAGTTGATCAATATTATCGAAATTGAGATAGAAATCTAGAACCATTATTCGTTGCTTTATTATAAATCGATGATGATGACGATGATGATGACGATGACGACGACGATGATGAAGATAATGTTTGATCGACCAATGAAGAAGTTGTAGGCGGCAGTTGTGGTTGCTGTTGTTTTTGTGTAAAAGGATGATTGAATGATTTTTGTGATAGATTAGTACTACCATTATTAGAAAGTACAGTTCCATATCCACCACTACTATAAAGATTATTATTAATGTTATTAGACTGTTGCTGGTAACGATAATCAGCCATTACATATGGATTGTGATGATGATGATGATGATGTTCATACATATTTGTCATCGATGATGGAATTTCTTGATGATTTGAACGAATTTTTGTCGTTGATGATGATGATGATGTTTGTGACATATTATTCAAATTATTATCATTATTCATTGTTGTTGTTGTTGTTCCATGTTGATCCATTGTCACCAATGCATCAGTAGATTTTAATCGTGCAATCTCAGCAAACACTGATGATAATGGCTGATATTTAGGTTGATATTGTTGAATATAATCCCAATTATATGAACCAGCAAGTTCACCACCTTCATTATGATGATGAACTGATGAAGTAGATGATTTATTTGGAATATGAATATTTCCTGAATTTGTTATCGCTGTGCTAGTGTTACTTGTTGTTGGTGCATTAATTGTACTACCACTATGGGTTGATCCAGATGTTCCACGATGTGATTTTAATCTTTTCGTCATTCCTTGCTTTGATGGTCCAAGTTTGCTTATCTGGCTGATAACATCGATTGATTCAACATCATCATCATCATCGATGGCAACCGATGATGTATTCTCGGGTTCTTCATAATGATTTGTCACACCTAAACGTGCCAGATATTCAGCTATGGTTGTTGGTTCTTCTGAAGGATCATCATTATCATAATAATTACTTGATTCATTAATCATACGAATTTCTTCATCAACATCATCTAGATCGGCATCATCTTCAGCTGAACCACGACCAGATGAAGCTGAATGTCCTTCAATAATTGGGACACCACCACATACATTATTCGGTGTTGTTGTTGTTGTTATTGTAACATCATTATAACAAGGTGGTGCAACTGGCGCAACAGATCCGGTTGTTCCATAATGAGCAACCGAATATGCAGGTGAATGTATATTCGGATCGCCTGGTACTCCTACTACACCTTCTACAAAACCTGAACCAATTTTTCGAAATAATGATCCAACATGATGATTACCACCACTACCAGCTAATGTTCTTAAATGACCGGTAAGATAATGTTGTTGTTCTTGTTGCTGTTGATGCATACGAATAACGATAACGCTAACCATTAAAACAAAAGTGATCAATAGAAGCAATACAATCAGGAATATAATCCAACCAGGCAATGGTGCGTCTCTTTGTGTTGGAATCTGCTCACCAGCGATCGCTAATCCAGCATCTATATTGTTGATGACTTCGGCCAAATCGATTTCACTATTATCATCACCAATCAGTGTTAGACGAACATTGACGACCGTTAAAGAATTTAATGAATTCATACGACCAGATTGAGCCGATATAATCATTGAAAATTGTTTGGGAATATTAGCATTGTAGAGAGACATCGAAATACTTCCAGTAGTTGAATTAATATGAACAAATTCCAATAATGTTTGTGGTGATATATTTTTGATTGAATAAACAACGATGCCATCAGGACCAGAATCCGAATCGATTGCCAATACTTGTCCAATTTTCACTCGAGAACGTGTAATAGATGTGACCACTTTGAAATCATATGAATCATTTACAAATTGTGGACTATGTTCATCGATTGATCCAATTTGTATTTCGATAATTGTTTCAGCCGTATTACATTGTAAATCATTTGTATTACCGCCATACAGATTATTTCCACTTAGATCATTTGCTTTAACAATAAATTTATAAACTGAAGATGCTTTTGATTCATAATCTAATTTCCCATCTGTAATGATAAAACCACTATCTGAATCATATCTAAATGGACTATCATTCCATTCGCTTAATTTCATCACGGTATAATTCAATTGATCACGATCTTGATCGATAGCTTTGATTGGTAAAACTTTTGTTCCAATAGCAACATTTTCGTCAATCAAACATTTAAAATGATTCGTTGGAAATTGTGGACAATATTCATTCGAATTGATAAGATTTATGTTGATTATGGTGAAATAACGTGCACCAGATTGATAGGATTCGGCAACCACACCCAAACGATAGATGGGATTTGTTTCAAAATCAAGCTTTTTATCCACTATCAACATTCCAGTACGCGAATCGAAACGGAATAAATTTTGATCATTACCACTAAAAATACGAAAATGAAAATTATCACCGCTTTCAGATTGTTGTGAAATTGTTCGTAGAACAGGTGGTGAAGTTTTCAATTTCTGAATTTCAGCGCCAATTTTTTCGTTTTCATTAATTTCCAATTCAAACACTTGCGATTTAAAAGGGCTGGCAAACATTGTCGAATCTTTTACATTCGATGGACGAACTTTGATATGAACAAAAATGATTGTAGAATTTGATAACGATCTTTTATCATCGATAGGTTTGATTTTCAACAGATATTGATCAGTCAGTGGACGATTGATAAGAACCAATTCTCTACCACGTAAAATGATGAAATTCTTATTACTATTGCCGTTGAATATGACATAATTAGCATGTGATCGTCGCGATAGTCGCAAGAGCGGCACACCAATTTGTGAACTTTCAATTTCAATAGTATAACTATTTGTAGATGATGATGATAATTCTTTTTTGCTATAATAATTTGATGATGATGATGATGTTAATTCATTATGTTTGAAATTCAATACCAATGATGCTTGTGCCTGTTCAATGGAATCTTGATAACGTGCAAACACTGTTAACATTACAAATTTGGTTCTTCGATAACGAATCGTACGATTATTGTAGATAATTCCACGTGTTTGATCAATATAAAAACCTTCCGGTCCTGCTTCTGAATTCAATGAGAACAGAATTTTTCGTTTAATCATTGGATCTTCAATCATTTGAGCACGAAATAACTCAACATTAATGTCGGACATTAAAATTGAATGTTTATCATCAAGATCTAATTTCTGATAGAAATTTGCCCCATCACGAAATACTGGAGCCATTTTTGAATAATTTCGTTTAACATTGATAGTAATATCCGTTTCGATTGTATGCATTTGATCGGATGCTTGAAGCAATAGTTTAATACGACGAACCAATAATCCAGATGAAGATCCACCTAACAAAGGTTTCAATGGACATTTTAAATAAATTTTTCCCGTATAAAGACCCATTTCGAAACAATCTTCATCTTCATTCAAATCATTATTTGTTTTTAATTTCATATAACTTAATGTTGGATGAATATCAACATCATTAGCAGTCCATGTGGCGATTGCCGAACCAATTTCAGCATCTTCACTAACGGAAATTTCTTTATACGGTGGAAATACCGGTACATTATCATTCTGATCAATAACGATGATTTCAACAACACATTGTGTTAAATGTTGATAGCTTGCTTCATCAGCCAAAAAATCACCGAAAAAATCTTGTTTCATTTCGGTTGCAATAACTTTCAATTGATATCGATCATGAATTTCTCTATCTAAAACAATATTTGTTCTGATGACGCCATCATTATCAATACTGAATGCCATATCGTTATTACCATCCACAATATAATAACTATAATGACGTGTACCGATTGTTTTGTTAAAAATCAAAGATTCATCATCAATATCGATGGCATTCACCTGTGCAACAAACGTGCCCGTTTGTTCATTTTCACTGATTGTAGCAATATAATGTTTCTGTGTGAATTGAGGTAAATTATCATCCACGTTTGCAATATGTATGGTCAAATTGTATAGATAAGAATGTTCATATAAATTCGTATCTGATGGACGATAAGCGAAAATTAAAACCTGAATTCGATTTGGTTGTGATTCATAATCTAATGATTTTCGCAATTTTAGATGTTTATCGTAAATTTCGAAATAACTGCGATCAATATCTGCATAGAATATTTGATAATTATATGATTGTGGATGATGATGATTATGTATGAATGAACCAAGATTAACAATATCGTAACCGATTATTTGATTTTCCGATACTTCCAATGAATCCAGATGAATTGATTGAATAAATTTACGATCATCAATGCCACCGATGAAAATTTGTAACAAAGTTGATGTGCTGATCGATTGTTGTTGTTGATGATGATCAAAATGTTGTGTCACTTCAATGATAGCTTCATAATAATTATAATTCAATGAACGTTTCACAAGAATAGCTCCGGTTTGTGGTTGAATAGTGAAATAATCATTGAATGAACGATAACTTTCACCACCATTCAATACACGATATGATAATATATTTGAATTTTTTTCATGTTTAAAATAATTTTGATAAGATGTAAATTCAATGGAACCAATTTTCTGATTAATACGAATACTATGTCGTGATTCATCCACAATAATTACATATGGATATTTAATCAATTTGAATGAATCAACAAATGAATTATGATTTCCATTTGTAATCAATGTCAGATGTACTTTAGTTTTCGATACGTATGATTGATAGGCAATTTTTCCAGCTTCTATGGCACTCACTTCGAATGTAAAAACATTCGAATCCAATTGATTGAATATTGGAATTACAAACGATGAATGTAAACGAATTTCTCCAGTTTCTGAATTCATACTTAAATATCTTGTTAAATTATTGGAATCATTTTCAATACGATAAAGAAGTTTATCACCATCAGAATCAATAGCTCGTACAGTGATAACATCAATCCATCCAAATGAAACATCATTGACAATGGCATAATAATCACTTTTCTCAAAAATAGGACCATTATCATTTACGTCCAATAATTCGATGGTAACATTACAAGTAGAAGTATGCAAAGAATCTGAAACTTCTAGGATTAAACTATACATTGATTGCATTTCACGATCTAATTGAGAATTGATACTCAATTCACCACGTTGTTCGTGTAGAACAAATTTATTGCCAACATTACCGGTGGAAATACGATATTGAAGACCGGAATTACTTGATCGATTATTATGGTCAGTGAAATCTGGATCGATAGCCACCAGTGTATAGATGGTGGTTCCTGGTTTTACATTTTCCGGTATTTTAATGTTGAAATTGGGTTGAACAAAATATGGTGAATTATCGTTGATATCAATAACCTAGACAAAAAAAGAGAATTTAAATTAATGAATTCTTCAATAAAAACAATCTTACCTTAACATTGACTAATGTTGAAGTATGGTGTTTGAAATTTTCATCAAACGCATAAACGGGTACATAGAAATGATCGATTTGTTCACGATCTAAACTTTTCATCAATTTTAATTCTCCATTATTTGAATCGAGATCAAAATAATCGGCATAACGATAACTTTTAGGCAGCAAATAAGTAATGTTTGATGATTGTTGGTCAGAATCTTTAGCTTCAAGCTGAACGATCAATTGTCCAGTTGGAGCATTTTCAATAATTTCTTTTTCATATGATCGTCGTAAAAAAATCGGTGGCTCATCATTAGTATTAAGTATTCTGTTTTTCAAAAAAATAGATAAATTCAATTAACAATCTCAAAAAACATGAAGGTTAATTACCTTATTCTAATGATATTCGAAATTGTGGCGATTGGCAATAATTTCGAATCATAAACCACAGCAGTAATATTGACACGATGTTCATGTTTACTTTCATAATCAAATTCACGTTTCAAACTTAATAGACCATTATCCGAATTCAATGTAAATTGTTCATCATTTGACATTAAATGTCCATGGCTAGCTAGAAAATATCGTACTTTAAAATCATCATGTGTTATATTGATTCGAGCATGAATGATTGGTGAGCCAATATGACAACAATCTTCTTCTAGTTCAATAAATTTTTCATTCAAAAATGCAATATTTCCCAATTGTGATTGATCGGAATCGATAATTTTCATTCGTATAGGTACACTTTGTATAATTTTGCCATGCCTTTTAGCTATCAAAGATAGGACAAATTCTTCATGTAGATATTGGCTAATTAATGTTGTATCATGTGAACGTTTAAATTGTAAAACACTATTTGAATCGATCAAAAACATTCGATTCAATGCATCATCATTGATTATTGGACTAGAAAGTTCATATTCAATGTCACCGATTTTCGAAGCTGGACAATTTGAATGATTTAAATATAGTAAATCGTGATTCTTAAATGATTCATTTGGACTATACGGTATTTTAACATCGAATAGATCTGGATTTTCAATCGGTAATGGAAGACAATTAACATTATCGTTAGATTCAATTTGGATATTGATTCGAACATAATGATCACATTGAATCATTTGATGATGATGAATTTTGATTTCAGTAATTTCCAACAATGCAGCTAAACATTGTGACCAATCAATGCAAAGTAATAGATTGTATTCATTTTTTGCTGTTCGATTAAGACGATCGAATGTCATTAAATGTAGTTTTGGTTCATTTGTATCAACATTTTCGACGAAAAATGGCAAACCATTCTTAATTTGATAATGAAAATTTGTAAAGAAACGATTATTACATTGATGTTGTTGCATCAATTTCATTGGTAAATCTATCGAACCAAATCGATATCCATAATCAATTTCATTTGATTTAGCATTGAAATTATATTGTTCAACATAATCCAGATCAATATTCAAGGTACGTTTATCGACAATTTCAATATCGATCATTTTGACTTTGGATTTTTTGCCTTGGCCATCGGTTGCAAGTAATGAAATTTTTCTCGTTGTACGTTTCAATGTTTCTTTTATATCAGTTTTAGTAATTAAAGCACCAGTAAGACGATCTATAGTGAAAAGATCGCTTTCATCCGCCATACTATAATAAACAGTTCCATTATCACCAAAATCTGGATCAAATGCATGGAATGTAGCAATGGTGCTTTTACGTGATGTACCAACAGGCACGGTCAATCTATTGCTACCATCATCATTTTCATCATTATCATCAAAAACGGGACGATTATCATTGATATCCAAAACATTAACAATAATGGTAGCTTTTTCTTCACTATACAATGATTCTATTGTACCTTGATCACGAACATCAACATTGAATTCATAACGATCTTTTGATTCACGATCTAAATTTGAACGTAAATAAATCTGTCCATTTGATGGATTAATACCAAACATTTTTACGGATTCTTGTTGTTGTTGCGAAATGTTATAAACTATTGATGCATTTCCACCGAGATCCATATCGAATGCAAATACTTGACCGATCAATGTTCCAACACTTGCATCTTCTGATATGTTGAATACATATTTTGATTGTTTCCAATATGGCCGATTATCATTCGTATCTTGTACGGTAATGTGAACAATAGCTGTAGCATTCAATGGTTTCGGTAGTCCATGATCAGTAACGGTTATAAGAAATTCATAATGATCCAATGTTTCACGATCCAATAAATTTCGTACAAATAGTTGACCATTGTTTGGTGAAATATCAATTGGTAATTGTAATTGCTTATTATTATCAACATTTTTTTGGCCATCATTCATCATCGGATATAATGAATAAGTTAATCGAGCATTATTACCAGTATCAGCATCTGTAGCTTTAATCTGATAGATATTTGTATTAATTGCGACATTTTCCTGTACTTGAATTCGATATAACGGTAACGATGATGATGATGATGATTGACGATGTACATTATTCTTGAACGTTTGATGATTGATGTAATGTTGTTGTTGATATTGATAATTATTATTCGACACATCTAATAATTGAGCGGTACCAACGAAAATCGGTGCATTATCGTTCACCTGTGTATGAGTATTTGATTGATGAAAAAAAGAAAATCAATTAGATCATGGATCATCAAAAATTTGAAAAAATGAAAAAAAGAGTAAATTAAATATAAAACGATAAACTCCTAATTTATCATTATATTATACAATTCAATTTTTTAAGAATGTTGTTGTTGTTGTTGTTGTTGTTATTTATAACTGATTTTTTTCTGGTTAATCATCAGCTATTGATGATGATCGTAAAATATTGTACAGTTGACTATGGATGAAATTGAAAATGACAGCATCAAACACACACACACACACATACAAACATGGGGTTTTCTTAGTTTAGTAAAAAGGAAAAACCTTGATCTTTTTGATGAACAGCAATTATTATTTCTAAGTAAAAAAAACCAGATAAGGAATTTAAATTGCTTTAAATTGGATTTTTTTTTTTATTGGCAATGTTTTTTCTTTCGTTTTTATTTTTACATGACATGACCCAATAGTAGCATATTCGACCTCTTGAAGTATAAACAACAACACTTGTTTGGTTGGTTTGAATTTTCAATTGACTTTTTTTTGTGTAGCCATAAAATGAACAACAACAACAAAAACAAGATCGAGGATCTACCTATAGGAGCGAACATCATCATCATATTACCAATAAGAAACACAAATCACCACCATCATCAATGATGAGGTAAGCTATTACTGTCAATCTTTTCTTTTGATGTCCATCATGTATGTATGTATGTATGTGTGTGTGTGTGTGTGTGTGACAAGATGAATGTTATTGTTAGTTTCATGCAAACATGCATGGTTTCGATTCGCGGTCATTCGGGAATTTTTTTTTTCTTCACTAAACATAAACATTGAATGGCATTTCAAATAGATAGATCAAATCAATGTTTTGTGAAACCAAAATTATACAATGGGTGAACAAGATTTGTGTTCTGATTTTATTGGCAAAAAAAAAAATAATGGAAAATATCAACATCGAGCCATGATGACGATGATGATGAGTTTAATTTCATCACAAACATTGTTCAATCAACAAACTATAACATAATATGATGAATTGTATAATAAAGGCTATATGGCGTCATCATGAATTATCAAGCCTTTCTAATTTTTTTTTCTCATCTGATGATGATGATGATGACCATCATCACCATGACCGTGATCGTATTTCAAATCAACAAAAAAAATTGAAAGATTTCAAAAAAAAAAAATGTGATTATATTATGCATCAACTAATAACCCATATCAAAATGGAAATCGAAAAGAATCCGTCTCTAGTCATTCAATGATAAATATAATAGAACTAGGTAAATAAATTTTTATTCAAACAAAACAAAATTTAACCATGTTTTTTCACCAATCATTCAAAAATGATAAAACAAGATTTGAGAAAAAATCATTGAAAAAATTACATCAACATCATAAAATATTGTCCACACTGGCGGCATTTGATAAATAAATAAAATCATCATCATTCTTTTAATCAAAATCGTTGTTCTTGAAAGCTAAATGAAAAAAATAATGATTATGATTATGATGATGACTAAGAGAGAGAGAGAGTCTAAAGAAATGATTTTCATCACTAATTATTGAAAGGATCATAAAGAATCCATTGCACTTTTGCAAAGTTTTAAATTCACTTTGTTTATCATCATCATAATAATAATAAACATTACCCAATAATAATATAAAGTGAAAGGAAATGAATATTTCTTTATTATAGAAGAAATCCATACCCTGATGATATGTTGTCTATGTAATATGTATTTTTTTAAAGCTTTAAAAAAATTAGCTAAATTAGATTTAAAAAAAAGATAAACACAATAACCATAACAATAAAGATAAAGATCAATAATGATGATGGTGGTGGTAATAATTTGAAATGAAGTTGTGTTTTTCAATTGAAAAGAGAAAAATTTTTCTCCCATTGCCCATTGGATATGGACATGAATTTGAAAATCAAATATTTTCAAGAAAAGAAAGCAGATGATATCATTATATTATCGCTGTTGGTGATTATGATGTCCGAAGGGTCGTCGATCCATTTCAGGTGGACACCACGCACACAAACACATATATCTAATGATATAATCTTATGATGATGATGATGATGGGAAAAAAACAAATTTTTTTCCAAATGTTACAAATAATGATAAAACAATTCCACCACCGCCAACTATATCTCATTCAATTCATCATCATCATCATCATTTTTTTCTCTCTATGTGCAAGCTAAATTCTGAATATGGGGTTGACACATTTCAAATGGACACAACAGACAGTTTCCGACGAGAGAAAAATAAAATTCAATAATTTCGAAATAAAGAATGTACAAAAGAGAAAGATAACTTGAAAGCTTATACATAGATTAAAATTTGAATTAAACGATAAAAACCATCAGAGAGAGAGAGAGAGAAAAAGAAAACTATTAGAAGAAACAAAAAGATAGCCGAATCGTATGAATAAAAAGATGATGATAGGGATAAGCTTTTAACGAGAAATGTTGATTTTTAGAGATATAAAAACAAAAATCTTATTGAAAATTATTATTATCATTAAATTAAATTTTCTAAATTAGATTGCAGAACTTTGAAAGATGAGAAAACAAAAAAAAAAAAAAAAAATTTGATTATGGAAATTAGATCTAAAAAGAAGATTATATTATCAATGCAATGAAATCACAGATGATGATTATGCAATGGATGATTTAACATCCTCAACCTATCTATCTATCTATCTATCTACCTATCAGGCAATCCTTCCTTACAACGATTTCATTTTCAAAATTGATTAATGTATTTTTGATGATTAAATTATTCACTCAATATTGAATATATATGGAGGGGAGTGGATTGAATGATTGAATGTGAAAAAAATAACATTGATACTTACATCTTGTATGAAAATATGTACCAACATTTCTGAACTTAATTGTCCACCATCGATAGCAACAACACGTATTTGATATTCATTTCTTGTTTCATAATCTAATGATCTACGTAAACGTACATGTCCAGTATGTTCTTCAATTGTGAATGGAAATCGTTCACGATCATCACTATCGTGATTAGTAGCTGGATAAAGTTGATAACGTATTCGACCAAAATTATCAGCATCATAATCAATTGCATACGCAACGAATACGGTACCATTATCTATTGGTATATTTTCTGGTACACTAATTTTCAATGTTGGACTAGGAAACATTGGAACATTATCATTCTCATCCAATATGGTTATGTTTATCTGTGTATGAGCATAACGATATGGACCAGGATATCGACCAGTATAGGCTTGAACATTCACTAATAGATAGGAATGTTTTTCACGGTCAATCAATGATGATTTTACACTGATTGTTCCATGTCTTGGATCAATAGTAAAATAGCCATCCGGATCGCCAGAATAGATTGAATATGAAATTGGTTCTTCCTGATGAAGATCATCGTCATTAATGGATGATTCAATTTTAGCACGAACAGTACCAACAATAGCACCTTGTGCTACATTTTCAATTACTTGAAAATTAAATTGTCGTTGAAGAAATATCGGTGCTGGAATCAAATGGCCAATTGAATCGGATTGTTGTGGAACAACGGAAATTAAAACCATTGCTGGTTCCAATGATTCACGACCACCACCATCATGTGCTGTTATCATTAATTTATATTGTGTATGTGACAATGATCCAGGTAATGCAGATAATGGTTTCAATAGGAAAATTTCACCTGTTTTTCGATCAATATCAAAATAATCTTTTTCATTACCCATTTTAATTTCATATTCAATTTGTCCAAATGATGATCGCGGTGAATCAAGATCAGTAGCAGCCACAATTACTAATGGATTAATTTGTTTCGATGATGATGACTGTGATGATGAATATGATGGTTGAACATTTTCACCAACACTAACTTTATATTCACGTGGATAGAATATTGGTGCATTATCATTGGCCTATGTAGGTGAAAAAAAAACCAAAACAATAAATAAATCAATCAATCAAATTTGAATGTAATCCTTTTATGTTATAAAAACAACAACATCAATTCATAATGGGAATATATAATTTATATATACATGATATATGAAAACTATGATGCTACCGTAATGATAATAGTGAATCACATCAATCTTAATTTTTGTTTATATCTATTCTTTTCTATGAAATAAATCATATTGGATTACTACTTACATCAATTACATGGATTTTAATCATAGCGGTTGTTGACAATCCACCTGTATGATTGAAAAAGTAAAAAAAAATAAAAAATAAAAAAATTATGACAATTTTTGTGCTAATAATGATGATAAAAGATAAATAAAAATTAATGGTATGTATCAATTTCTTAGGATTTGTGAATTGATAAAAATCAAAAGATGAAATCACAAAATTATGTGTATTATTAATAGAAAAAAAGCCACATGGTTTAAAATGGTTAAAATATCAAACAAGCCAACAACAACAACATCCTCATCATCATCATCATTTGTGACTACCACCTGCTGTGGTGTTGAAATTTACAATTCATAAACATTTCATCATCATCATCATCATCATCATCGAGGATAAATTACATTATAAACCAATATATGAGATGAGATTTGACTACATTTGAATTATATCACAAACATACTCTATTTACTGACTGACTGACTGACTAAATGAATGAATGAATGAATGACTTGATTTTTTTTTTTTGGCAATGGCCCCCCTCCTGAGGTCCTGCAATGTGTCTATATGAAGACAATGTTTCCACCACACTAACACTGATGATGATTGACCATGATCATCATAGAGTGAACAAACTGATGAATGATGGAATCAGAGATTTTTTTGAATCCAAAAGCCATTCATTTTGTTGTTGCTATATTTGTTGTTATCTGTTTTTTTTTATTTTGAATATTCATAAATTATCCTATGTTGTCATATTTCATTTTTTTTTGATCGTCTGTCTGTCTGTTTTTTTTTTTTTTTTTTGGTAAAAACAGAAAAAATAGCAAGATGATTTTATTATGTTGCAGATAAAAAAAAATTGTAAAAATATTTCAGTCAAGATAAATAGATATGAATTTTTTTTAAAAAAATATTGAGATATTAATAATTCAATATTAAGATGATGATGATGATGAAGGATAAAAAATATGATAACAAGATCAACAAAAAAAATCAACAGGTGACATCAATGAAAATAAAATGAACCAGAAATGATGATCCAAGAAAAAAAGGATAGAATCAAATATTTTTAGCTTGAAAATTGAGAAAATTTCCATAATTTTTTCTTAGTTTGGCCATCTCTTTCATCATCATCACCATTATTGACTATGTGGTTATCTGATCAGAATGGACAACAACAACAAAAATGAATGCGAATAAGAAATGATCATGATCATTGAGACAGATAACAGATATTTCAATAAATAGACTTTCACTGGGAATATTGAAAGAACCGAATGTGAATTCAAGTTTTTAAATATCGTCGAGGAAAAAAAAAAAAAAAAAACGAACTTGAAAAGATAAGAAGAATTTCATGAAAAAAAACCAACCCTGAACACATTGTGTGCACACATAAACACAAACAGCATTCGTGTGTACCAAACCAAACGAGACTGCATATCTACATTATCATCATCATCATCATTCATGCTTTAAGGCATCATTACATAACATTTTTTATTACTTTCAAGCCAAATGTCACCATCGTCGACCATCGGCCAACCGAATGACATTTTATTTGATTTTTTTTTCTTCCATCATAATCAGATATATCTGGAAAATTTCAACCAAAAAAAAAAAAAAAAAACAAAACAAAAAAAAAAAATAAAAATACACACATCAGACATCTAAATATTCAACAGGACAACAAGAATCGATAAAAAAAATGTCTAATCTAAATTATTATTATCTACCACTATTTTTTTTATAGTTTTATAGAAAAGACAAAAAAAAAAAAAAACAAAAATTATGACATTTTGTCTTGTGCATGCGTTAAAATGTCATGACCTGAATTGAAAAAAAAATTGGTCATAATAATAATAATAATAATAATCATTATGATTGAGATGATGATGATGATGACAATGAATGATAAGACAAAAAATTTTTTTTTTGTCAATGTCACAACAACAAACATACATCCGATGATGATGACATCATCATCGAAAAATAGCCATACAAAATCAAAATGATGATGATGATGATGATGGCAAATAATGATAGCCTACTAGCCTGATGTTGGTAGTGGTAATGGTATGGTGGATGGATAAGGCGCGGTTAAGGAAAATAATTCAACCACAACAACAACAACAACAAAAAAGATTATTCAAAAATGGATTCTGATACACACACATACACGCAGTAATCCATCGAACAAATGTCATAATTATTATGATGATGATGATGATTATCCATATTCGTTGACAGAAAATTGTCATCATCATCATCGTATAAATTAGACATTTTGTCAAGTACAAAAAAAAACAATTTGTCAAAATGAAAATGCTATAATTATATATAGTGTGCGGTAATAACAATCATTTGTATATGTTAACGGGATTTTTCAATGAATTTTTGTTTTTTTTTATTGGTGACAATTCACACAAAAAAAACAATTTCCACACACACCTGTTGTACCTTCCCATTCAATTCACATTCATTAATAATTTTCATAATAGGAATTTTTTTCTCGATTATTCAATCATTTCTCCTGACTATGGTGTGTGTCTGTCCAACTTATCGATTCAATTTTGATTGAATCATCGAATTTTTTGTTGTTGTTAAGATTGTTACTTCCTCAATTTTGTTGTTGTTGTTGTTATCTTGGTCGTGATGATCTCAAGGTAAGAAAAAAAAGAAAAATACCAGAATGACAACAACAACAACAACAAAAAGCGAGAAAATTAATAGCAATTTGAAGAAATGATTAAATTTAGGATGAATAACTGGATTTACGAAGCCATTAATTTTTGAATCAACTTTACTACTGTGTGAATAATATGTGTGCTTTATGTTCTCAACTATGTTAAAAATGAAATCTTCATTTATGTTACAATGAAATTTGTTTTTTTTGCGAAGAAAAAATGCGAAGAAAAAAAAACTACTTACCTCGGTCAGTTGCCATAACTGGTAAATCGAATACACGAATCGATTCATAATCCAATTGTTTTTTCAAACATAATTCACCGGTATTCGGATCCAAACGGAAATGATCAAATAAACGTAAATGTTCATGCTGTTGTTGATGATTATTATCCAATTTTTCTTCACCATCATTATTTTGTAATAGACGTGGTTTACGTGATGATAATCTATTACCATTATCATCGGCCATCATCATGGTCATTGGTGATGATAATTCTAATGAATAATTTACCATAGCATTTATGCCACAATCAGCATCGATTGCTTGTAAACGTAATAAACAATGACCAACAGGTGTATCTTCAATGATTGATACATTATAAAAACTTTGATCAAATATTGGTTCATTATCGTTGATCTAAAAAAAAATTAAAATGAAAATAAAACAAAACAAAAAATCAGTTTCAATCAATCAAATCAAATCAAATCGATTTCAAATAAATAAATAAAAAAACGAAAGAAAGAAAAAAATTACAAATCGAATCATCATATGAATAACTTTCGTACTTTGTGAATGAATCTGTAATTTTTCAAAATTCAAATTCTTTCGCAATTCGAGTTCAAATTCAAATCAACTACATAATTATGATTCGAACGAATAATTTAAACATCAAAAAAAACTCATCCATAGATAATGAAGAATAAGACGATTGAAGAAAAAAACAACAACAACAACAACAAAATAAAAGATTTATGATGAAAAGATTTTTTTTTATCACCGCTGACAAGTGGAAAAAGTAAAAAAAAAAAAAAAAAGAAAATCAAAGTGATTTACCACATTTTCTTTCTTCTTCTTTTTTCGTTTTAGTTTCTATCTGGCCAACTACATAATCTTTAAATAAAAAAATTTGAATAGAATAAATATGGTGTTCAAATGATAACAGAAATCACCATCATCATCAAGAAAAGAAAAAAGCGAAAAAACAACAACAACAAAAGAAAATTGATGATAAATGGTGAGTTGATTAATTAATTAGTCAGGGATAATTAATTAATTTGAAGAAAAACAAAAAAAATGATAGTGTTCGATTAGGAATGAGATTAAAAAATTTTTTTTTGTGAAATAAAAAAGTTATTCTTGGTTGGTCAGAAAAGAATTTTTTTTTTTTGATGAAAAAATACCAACGAAAAAAAAAATTATGATCATCAAGACTCAGGCGAGAGCCAAAGATTCTTTTTAAAGCTTGAATTATACAGGTTTTTTTCATCATCATCATCATCATCATTTTTTCAGGCAACAAATTCGTGAGTTTCGTTCATTTTTCTCTTCGTTTTCGTTGGTGTGGCGACTGTGACCGACCGACCGACCATAGAAAGAAGAAAAATTTTTCTTTTCCTCAATCAACCAACCTATTCAACGATAATGGCTATCGAATGATGGCATGATGATGATCATCATCATCATCATCACCAGCCTAATAATAATGATGATGATGATGTTGAAGAAATTCATTTGCCAAAAAGTATTCGAATGAATGAAATTCTTTTTCCACTACACATTTTTGTTTTGTTTTTTTTTTTTTTTGGCATTGTAATTGGGCGTTGTCATTTTGTAAATGTTTGGAGAGGAAAAGAAAAAAGATGAATGAATTTTCACAAATCGACAAAATTCTAAGAATTCATCATCATCATCATCATCATCAACATCAGAAGCTTTGATTAGATTAAAATTAGATTAGAAACAAAAAAAAATTCAGACTTTTTCTTCATCAACAAAAAAAACAAAATTATAAGTGAATTCTGTGCATAAAAGGTAAGGTCAAAGGTAAAGTTGTCATGATGTTTTTATATATAAAAAAAAATTTCTGATTATCAGATTTTTATCTCTCAAAGATAGAATTTTACGTCATTTATGGACATTATCATCATTCTATATATGTGTGTGTCTGTGTGTCTATATGTCTGGATCTTGATATACCATCTTTGTTTCTAATGTGAATCTTTTTAGTGAAGAAGACACATTAGAAATTTAGAAGATAATCGTAATGTCTAATTTTCGATTTACAATCATCCATCATAATTTTCTCTTGTCTCGCTATCTCTCTCTCTTTTTAGGTTCTCCAGATACACACACACACACACACACGTTTTTTTTCACGGCCTTTGTGTATGTTGTTGTTTTTTTTTACCTTTCATTTTAACTTTTTATTTCTCCCCATTACGACTATTTCTCAAAGATTCATTTTATCAACAAAAAAAAAAAACCTGTACTATAAATGATATGATGATGATGCTAAAAGCAATGTTTATGAGCATCATCATCAACAATAATCTCGATCGAATGCTACCACCATCATCATCATCATCATCGTATACTTTTGACCTTTAGTGATTTAATTTGTGTCTGTTTGTGTATGATAGCATCCAGAAAAAAAAAAAAAGTTATATCTTTGAAGATTATTATAACGATTAATTATGGATGATGATGATTATGATGATAATGATAAAATACTATCGGCTTTTTTTAAATTGATAAATCTCATAATAAACTTTTAAGGGTAAAGAAAGAAACAAAAAAAAATGTAGGTTGCAATAATAATAATAATAATAATAGATTCCAAACACTTTTTTTTACCAAGGATTATATGAATGAAAGATGTGAAGAAAAAAAAGGGTTACACTTCCTATTACTACTACTATTCCTATTTTGTAGTCATATATAGATTACATCTTTTTTTGGTGTTCACGTTTTTTCACACACATTTTTTTTTTTATTTTCGAGCAAAAACATTCAAATTTAATTATAGAACTGAATTGAATAATTCAATCAAATGTAGATAGAATGAATACAATGTGCTACAATGTATATAACAATGTTTGAATGATAATCAAAAAAGAAGAAAAAAAATTTGTCATTGTTTGATGACAACAGCAACAAGTGTGAGAGACCACCGAGTATTGTTCTATGATGATGTGAACATTTTGAATTTCTTCATGTTGACTTGTGGGAAAGCCCAGTGTTATCGGCAGGTGGACGTAAATATGGTCTACTCATTGTTGATCATCATACACGATTTTGTTTTGGTATTTCAATTTCATCGAAATCTGAAGCGACAGAAACATTAATCAATTTTATTATTGATCATCAACGACGATACAAGAAACATGGTAGAAAAGTTTGTTATATCCGGTCTGATTGTGGTAAAGAGTTCGTCAATCATCAAGGTAACGAATGTTTGCTCAGAAAAGGCACCCATCATCAAACTACTGTTGGCTAGGCACCACATCAAGCAATAATAAGGTAATTCATCACAATCATCATGGATGAATCAACATCATCTTCATCTTCTTTTATCAATCCAAGATTTTTACATGATAACAGTTTAACAAGTGATAGTGATAGTGATAGTGATAGTGTTATTGACAATACTCATGATTCATCTACAGTTTCGATACAAGAATTATCACAATCATCATTTGACAGACACAATACAAAGGCACCATCACAATCATCATGATGATGATGATGGCTATCCATTATTACCCATCAGCAAGCGTTGATGATTACAACAACAATTAATTATCAAACACACACACAGGTAACATAGGTAACATTAACGCCTCAAACAATGAAAATGATGATGATAATTATGTTGACAAACAAATGATTTTTTTTTGCTCTATAGAAAAAACACAGAATTTGATTTTAAGAAAAAAATCAATTCAACATGCAACATTTCAATCAACTTTTGTGTGTGTGTGTGTGTATGTGTGTGAAATGAATGAAAAAACTATTACAATTTGGGTAGAGAGAAATTCCATGGTAGCGCAAACCCCTTAATATATGTCTTTGACCTTAAAAAGTCACCATCATTATTATTGGATTTTTTTTTGTTCGTTCAAAATTTCAATCCATTTTTTTTAAATATATTTCCCGTTGGTAATGATCAAACCTGGTTTTATTTAATTTTTTTTTCAGAATGAAATGAATAAATCATATTTATTGTGTGATTGTAAACAACAGAATAACAACAACAGAACCTGAAAATTGAAATTGCAAATAATAATAATAATAATAAACAATTTATATTGTGTGATGATTCAAATTCAAAACCAGTCAAACATGGCATAGTAGTAGTAGAGTTACCACCATCATTATCATCATGAATGAATGAATGAATGAATGAAGAGAGAATACATCAATAATCAACACCAATACTAACACCACTACTAAACTAAAATTGATTATTAGTTTCGGTTCAGGTATGTGATAAATAAGTAATTTTGATATTATAACAACAGCAACTTGTTTGATTCAGATCAAAACAAATTGAAAAATGGTTCCATCTCAATTCCGGATGCTTAATCCTCAAGTCTATTTTTGTTTTTTTTTGTTTTTCTTTTCAAAACGACACAATATGGCTTATAGCTCAGCAAGTTCCTCATCACACAAAAAAACGATTTTCGAACCAGTTTTTAATGTGTATTATTTTTTTGTTTTTGAAAAAAATAATGATAACTTTTTCATTCACACAGGTTTTTTCAATTGTTTTTTTTTGTTGCATCAAAAACAACGGGAAAACCGGGTTCACACAGAAAAATCACCGTGTGTATGTGTGTGTGTGTGTGTGTGTTTTGGAAGAAAATCCTAATTTTATGACCAAATTTTTCATCCCTTTTACGATTATTGGGTACAGCAAAGAAGAAGAAGAAGAAAAAAATCTTTAGAATTAAAAGAAAAAAAATTTTTTTTGTGTTTTTTCCCATCGACAACAAAAAAATTGTCAAATTATAAATTGAAAAAAGACAAACGAACAAAACTTACATCATTGATTGAAATGATCAATGTTGTTGTCGCTGTGAATCCTATTTGATGATCAGGATTATTTTCATTTATCGTTGTTCGTTGTTGTTGTTGTTGTTGTTGTTGTTTAGTTGAATCAATGTTTAATGAATCACAAACAATAATAATCAATTCAGGTTCAGGATCCATTTCACAATCAATCAATGAATGTGTGGTAATTAAACCAGATCGATAATCAATTTGAAACCATTTTGTTTTCATTGTCATTTGATGTGTTGTATTTTTATCATTAAATGCACGGAAATAAATCATTTCATCATCATCATCATCATTGTTGTTGTCGTTGTTGTTGTTGTTGTTTTTGGGTATTAAAAATGCATAGGTAAGCATTGAATCTGAATCACGATCATTAGCTGACATTTGAAATACTTTGGATCCAATATCGGCTGTTTCTAATAATGTTGTACGATAAACAGATTGATCAAAATAAGGTGCATTATCATTCACATCGGTCACTTCTAATTCAAATGTTGTACTAGTATTTTGTGGTGGATAACCTTTATCACTGGCCATCACTGTTAATTGATATTTAGATCTACGTTCACGATCCAATTTACCGGTGACAACAATTAGATAAACAATTTGATCAGCGGTTTTCAAACCAAATTCACCATCTGATGCACCAAACAATGAAACACTAAGACCATTATATGGTGAAAAACGTTTTGATGATGATGATTTTTTCAAAAATGATGAATGTAATGAATGTGATGATGTAGCATGAATATCGGCATCATTAACGGAAACACGTGCAACAAGATCACCAATTTTGGCATCTTCAGCAATTTCTGGTTTTGAATTTGATGTTAAATATAGAATATTTATAGTCGGTTGATTATCATTAATATCGGTTACACGTATTGAAACAAATGCTGATGTTTCTAATGGCTGAACACCTTGATCACGTGCAATTATAACTAATTCATGTAGATCTTGTGATTCATAATCCAATGGTTTTATAACATATATCCATCCAGTATGACGATTGATAGCAAAATATGATGAACTATCCATTATCGTTGCACCACCATTACCCATTATGGCTGATGATGATGACGATGATGATGATGATGATGATGATGTTGGATTTGAATTAGATTGTTTAGTATGAAGCATATAAACAACACGACCATTATCACCATCATCATTATCGATGGCCGTTACTTTTAGCAATGATGTACCTAATGTAACATTTTCCGATACAGATCCATAATAATGATTTTGACTAAATATTGGTTCACAATCATTATGATCAAGCTATAGTATACAAATGAAAAAAAATTTCGAAAAAAAATGAAAATTTAACATTTAAAAATTCAACAAAAAAAAGGTCAATCTGTAATCAAAGTTAATTCATTAATTATGACTTACGATAGCAATTTTAACCAATAGTTGATCTTTCAATGGTGGTTGACCACCATCCATTGCTTCGATAATAAGATTATAATTGGCCAATGTTTCACGATCAAGAACACCATTTACTTGAAGATCTAGATAAAGTATATCATCTTTTTCTCGGTGACTAATCAAACGAAATGCATTTCCAACATTTCCCGATACAATACGATAGGTTTGTGTGCCAAAAATTGCTTAATGTGGAGAGAAAAAAAAAGTTGAATGAAATTATTTTTATTGATATGTTTTTTTTCACAAATGACCACCCATAATAATGATAATGATAATGATATGATAACTTACCACGATCCAAATCGATAGCCGGTGGTAATGTACGTTTAACATCTCTTGGTTTACTATTTTCCGGAAATTCAAGTTCAATTTCACGAGTTGGAAATCTTGGTGCATTATCATTAACATCTTCAATGTTCTGTGAATAAAGAAAAATAAAATTAGAAACAAACAAGATGATGATTAGCCATTAGATGTTAATATTATTATTCATCATTATTTACAAATCGAATTCAAATGAATCAAAATCCTATGATTATACAACTTTGAAGTAGAAGTAGAAGAAATAAAAAACAGTAGCCAACACACACACATACACACATCACAAATATTGGCAAGCCTTATATCATTATGATGATGACCACGATCATCATCATCATCATCGAATCGAATCAAATTGAATTGAATCGAATCATGGGGAAAAAAAGAAAAATCCGAAAATGAAATAAAAAAAACTCGAATGAAATTAAACAAGACAACAAGACTAACACATCACCAGCAATAAATGATAAACAAAAGACAAAACGAAGAAAAAACATCATTCCTATGGTGAAAAAAAAAAAAAACAGCATGTGGTAATATAATATAATATTGAATAATGGATACAGAAGCCACAGGCACCAAAAAAAAAAAATATCAACAACCACAATCGATTGGTTGATTGGTTTTAGAAATAAGAAAAAACATCATGTCTTTTGGGTCATCATCATCATCATCATCATTATTATTGATGATAAAAAGGAAAAAAAAAAAAAATCGAAAATTCAAATCTAGGCTATAAATTGCATGTGATACCAAATGGAAAAAATGTATGTGTGTTTTTTTTCCACTTTTAGCACGTGGTTTTATTATTCCATTCAATTCAATTCATTCATTCATTCATTCAGGGTCATTCACATTTTTTTTCCAAGTTTTTCCGGATTTCCAAATTTCATCAATCTACTCAAACAAAACTCAAATTAAATTAACATCATTTGATCATCATCATTACCCGAAACAAACACACACACACACACACATCAAAATCGGTTTATAGTAAATGTCAAAAATGATTCCAAATAAAGTTAAACCAGAAAAAAAATTATCTTGATTTCAAAAAAAAAAAAAAAAAAAAAAAAATGAGGAAGCAAAATTCCAAATCATTCCATTTGGAAGAAAATTTTCGTAATCATCATAATTATGCATAAATTAATTTCAATTAATGTCAAATGTAAAAAAAAGATGAACAAAACAAAATTCAACCCGAAAAAAATATGAATTTCAAAATGATGATCATTTGAATCTAAATGTAAAAATCTATCATCGGACAATAAATTGAATATATACATAGAAATAAGTAGTGGTCATTCAATAAATCGAATGAACGAATGACCGCCAAAGCCGCCACCACCGCACATCAATCAATCAATCAATCATCACAATTATCAGACAAAATCAAACAACGTAAAAGAAATCAAAAATCGGTCAAATACCTTAACATACATACATACATACATAGTTGTCTCTTGTCTATTAAAACCAGAAAGAAAGAAATCGAATCGAATTAAGTTTTTTTTTTTTTTTTTTTTTTGGTTAGAAAAACCACGTTATTTTTCTTGTTACGCTATGTTGTCATTGTCATTGTCGAACAAGAGAATGGTTGGTTGTAGTCAATTTTTCATCATTATCATCATCATCATCGTTATCTTGTCCCTACACACAAGAATGCTACCTGTCTTGGCAGAAAAAAAATAAAAATCTAAAATACACATGGTCGAGAAAAAAGATTTTCAAAGATTTTAACCTTAAAATGTCAAAATAAATCAGAACAAAAATCTATTATTATCCACGAGAGATGTAGAAAATTTTTTCAGATTTTTTAATTTGTATGAATGAGAGAAAAATTGTTTGATAGAGAAACAACAGAAGCATCTCCTCTACAATGGTCATCAACGTTCATCTTGGAATTGTTTTTGTGAAACGAAAAAAAAACTGAACAATCATCATCCATATATGCACACACACACACTGTATCATTGGTGATGTTTTTTGTTGTTGTTGTTGTTTTGTTTTTACTTACAATTCGAATATGAATATTGATACCAGTCAATGAGATGGCAATAAATGAATAATATAAACGACGTTCACGATCCAATTCAATTGCCGTACGTATTTCACCTGTTGATTGATCAATATTAAGATCAGTATCAACCGATCCTGATGAATGTTGTTGTTGTTGTTGTTGTTGAATTGCTGTTGTTGATGTTTGTTTTGTCGATATGATCGATGATTGTTGATCAATAATATCACCATCCGGTATTGGTACAATTAGAAATGGTGGTTCAATCGAAATCGCTTCATTTGGTGATTTAATTATTCCAATAAATGATCCAACAGGTACATTTTCAGTAACTGAAAATATTAATTCTAATTGACCAGATTCTGATGATGATGATTTTGAATGATTATCAGCTGCAGCACAAAATAATAACAATAATGAATTTGATAAAAATAATAACAACAATACAAAAAATAACATAATATTCGATGTTGATGATGTTGATAATGATCGATGACTTGATGAGATGAATTTTGGCAATTTTTTTGATGATGGTGATAACACCTGCTGCATTTGATGATGATCATAAGAATCCATCATCATCAAACGTTTGTAACGACCACGAGTTCTATATGATGATGTAATCATCATTGTATGATGGTTATAATGATGATCATCATCATCAATTATTGATTTCATTTTCAATGATTTTGGATTCATTTTATTGTGGGTAAAAAAAAAATTACAGAAAAAAACAACAACAATCGATTATATCGAATGCTAGAATCATCATGTGGTTGTTTAATTCGAAAACAAAAAATCTTTTCTAAACGAAAAAAACATTGAATACAGGAAAAATTTTAAAAAAAAAAAATTTAAACATTCAAAATTTAGAAACACACAAAAATTACAGACACATATGTTCACAATGGCAAAGAAAAAAAAAATACACAACAAATATCGATATGAACTTGTTGAATGACTGAATCTGAATGAATGATTAAATTCAATGAAAAAAGAATAAGAAAAGCGAAAAAAAAATTGTATTCACATGTATATATGTGCATTTGGTCTATAGACATATACACACACACTAGAAAACATGGTCACAACATTCTTTTCTTTTTTTTTGGAAAAAAAAACATGCAAGACTTGAAATTCAAGTCGATCTGTTTTTTCGTTTGGTTTCGAAAAGTTTTCTGTCGTGGACCACGACGACGACCTACCACCAATCGACAACTATGATGATGATGATGATAGTTGCGCTCTCACCTTGTTTGTTGAGATATTATTGAACGACAAAAAAAAAAGAAATTGCCATAGCTGACGACCAAAATTCATGTTTGTGTTTTGTTTGGGCCGATGGCTAATATGTGTCCATTGATGGTGATGCCACCACTACCACCATCACAACATACTATAGTAGTCAAAAAAAAAAAGAACACCACATTCCACAATACCCATCCATCCATCTATCTATCTATGATCTGATCTATCCGTCCATCATTGTGTGTGTGGAAGCATAGGTTATTATCATCAAGATATGGTCGTCGTCATAGTCGTTGTTGATGTTGATGTTTTTTATCGCTTCTTTTTCTCAATAACTGTGTAGCTTTTTTTTGGTATTTGTATTTGCTCTCTATATCATCATCATCATCATCAATGTCCATTCACCTTTTTTTACTACATTTCATGTACCTCTCTCTTTCTCTCTTTTCATCGTTTTTTTTTACCTATGGTCTCTCTCATCATTGAACGCTAATTGCTTGTTGCTTTTTTCAATGTTGTTGTTGTTGTTGTTGGTCTGGACGACGACTATAGTTCTCTCTTATTAACGTTTTTTTTCAAGTTAGGTATTTACCTCTGGTCCATCCATTGCCATATTATATACATGCAAACACACACGCACACACACACACACACACACAATAATAATAATCGACATTGTCCATAATCAACAGGGACATAGCATGGTAAGAAACCTTCATTTTTTTTCACAACTAGATGATTTTACCAAAAAACTTGCCATTGAAAGAAAAAAAAGCTATACTTATATGCGTATGCTTTCAATGTGTTTTTTTTTTTTTAGTTTCTTAGTGGGGTTGTATGTTTTTTAATGGTCTGTCTGGCTCCAGTATGCTATATGCCCTATGTCTTGGTTTTCTATCATTCGATCGATTTACATTTTACATTTACATTATTATTATTATTCAGTAATTTTGGTCTTTGCTTACAAAAAATTTTTTTTTTGGTTTCAAACAAAACCAAAATAAAAAGAATGAAAAATTCAATTTCAATTCAAACAAGTGACCCATACACACCAAATACATGGACCTATTACTATTATCTTGATTTTTTTTCCTGGATCGAAAGCGGAAAATGGTGACAACATAAAAAAAGTGCATGTAAAAGAAAATATATTGATTATCGATTGATGAAAAAACATTTTACTCTCTTTAAAACTTACGAAAACTTTTGTGATGAAAATCGATAATGGTAATTCGAGATGTTCGGTTTTCCAATTTTTTTTTTAATTTATTGAAATTTGATAAAAAAAAACTTCGCATGCACACCAAGATTTGTGTGATCAAATGATGAATGTAAAAGAAATAAATAAAACCACAATTCACATACGGTAGATCATAAAGAAAAATGGACACATAACAAACCGGAAATGTCTGTTTATTGTTTAGAAATTGATAATGTTAATTTATCATCATCATCATCATCATTGATTAATCAACAAACAAATTTTAATGAAAAGTCACTGTCATCAAAATTAAATCAAGCGAATCGTATTCAATTTTCGATTGTCTCATCATCATCATGAATGTCTAATTATGACAAACACACACACACATTGTAAAAAAACCAACAATTATGATGATGATGATGATGATATTTTGACTAATTTTTTCTCACCTTTTTTTTCTCGATTCTATAATACAAAAAATTTCCATTTGAAATTCACTTGGCCATTGGCACGTTATTCTCAATAATAATAAAACGGGGAAAAAAAATTCAACCGCAAAAAAAATCAATGATTCGAGGTTCTAAAAGGTTTTTTTTCTGTTTACTTGTTTCAATAGATATTGTTATCTTTGTTTTTACTGTTGTTGTTGATCGGTATACGAAATATCATAAAGATGTTGTCATCGTCATTTGATTTTTTATTTTAGCTCTTTTTAAGCTTGTCATTATAATAATGTAAAATACAGGTATGCCTGTATTGGACATTTATTTATTTTTTATCGATAAAAAAAAATCAACAATCAATGATGGTGACACAAAACACAACCCTGTTCTTGTTCCTTTTTATTCAGTGTGTGTGTGTGTGTGTTGTTGTTGTTGTTGTTGAAGAAATCAACAACAAAGTGGTCAATCTAAATAACTCGTGGACTATCTATCTATCTATCTATCTATGTGTGGTTTTTTTCGCTGGCAAAATTCTCTCAACAAATTACTTACTAGATAAACTTTGCTTGATCACCAGTCACTATGTCTGGCTGGTTGGTTGGTCAGTTTTTTTTCTATTCTATTTTACTTTCCAGATTCGTTGTCTGTATGTTTATTCAAAAGTCTTTTTTTTTTTTTTTTCGTTGTTGAAAAAGATTTTTTTTTGTAAAAACAAAGCAAACGAAAAAAATCGCTAATCACATGGCTTGCGGGCTATTCATTTTTTTTTTTTTTACTCAGTGGTTATGTATGGTGTATGTGTGTGTGTGTTGTTCCACCATAATCACTACAATCACAAATAATCAACCACCATGGTCTATTTTTTTCTAGTAAAAAAAACAACCCGAAAAAATCGAACCAATTTTAAAAATCACCACCAACAAGGTCATCATCTGAATGGTTTTTTTTAAACTGAATAATTCAGATATGCAAAAAAAACTGCTTATTTCAACAACAACAACAACCTTTTTTTTCTATGGAAAATTGTCGATCTCAGAAAGAAGAAGCAAATGAAGAAAAAAAAAATTGAAATGAAAATGAAAAGAAAATTCTTCAAAGTCTAATGGACCGTGGCGTGTGTGTGTGTACACGCACCATAGTGAGATAATAACAATATATGAGGGCAAAAGTAGAAAAAAAACACATAACTTACCTGTGGCCAAACAAAGAAGATATTGTTATGTGAAAGATTTCAATTCGTTTCAAAACGAATCAAATATTGATCAATTGATTGATGAGAAACGAAAACGAAGAATCAGGTTCATCATCATCATCATCATCGTCATTTTTTTTTGTTGAACGAGCGGAACTTCTTGAACTTGAGAAACACTTGTTGATCACATGTTGAATTTGATGAAATTGTTTTTAAGATTTTTTTCCGATGATTACTTTATAATGATGATGATGACGGCAACGATGAATTAAACGAGTTAATTGAATTCATATGTAGTGGACACACACACGAACACATTGGAAGATTGTCGTTTGTTGTTGGCGTTTCGGTGGATTGGTAGATAAATTTTAAAAAAAATTTTAGAAAACAAAAATTATCATCACCATCATCAATGAAAAAACAAACAACAACCATATCCACCAAGTTTATTTGAAATTTTCTATGATTTAAGCCACAAAAGAATCGTATCTTGATTCGTATCGTCGTTGCGAAGGAGTCTGCCGTGTGTGTGTGTGTGTGTGTGTGTGTGTTTTAAAATGAACTTTTTTTTTATATTCAAATTTAATGTTTTTTTCCCCCAGTGAGGTTTGAATGTTGATTTGGATGAACACCGAGACATTAGAAAAATTGAAAAATTTTTAAAAAAACCACATTCGATACAATAACAACAACCACTGCTTGATAAAATTTTGATGATGATGATGATGAATTTCTTTCATTCGTTTGAATTTGAATCAAATTTTTAATGATTACTTAAGTTGAAATAAAATTCTTATCTTATACGAATAAATGATAATATTCCACTTTCGTATTTATTTCCATTCAGATCATCATCGCCATCATCATCCACCAAGAAAAAAAATGTCTTCATTTTTTTTTAAAAAAGGTAAAAAAGGGGCCGAAATCATTGAAAATCAAATTTTTTTTCATTCAACGATCAAAATTTTGATAATTTTGAAAATGAAAAATTTTTCAACGCCAAATTAGTATCAACAAATTACTTTAGGTGATTGTCATTTGACGTGAAGCAGATTTTTCAGTTCATTTACGACCAGGAAAAAGGCCTAAAAATAGACCAAATGGTTCAAATATGAATTGGAATCTTTTTTTTGTCGCAAAAAAAACTGAAAAATGAATGAAAACTTTATTTCGAAATTTTTAAAACATAAATTTTTTGTTAAGAATATAATCAGACTTGCAAATAAACAATTTAATAATTAATTTATAATAATTTATAACTGTGAATATGCTTGCAAATATATATATGAATCTTAAACGTAAATTCAATTACGAACATAACGTATGATTGTTGTCAACAAAGCACCACTTCAACACTCCCCCGTTTTGATAAAATCATACAAAGGCAAATTTTCATTAAATTTCTTCTTATTCAACAATGTAGAAGAATTTGAATTATTCGTTATTGTTGTCGCGGCCAAAGACGTATTTTGAGCAAAAAATTTCAAATTTTTCTCTCTCTCTCGAATCTCAATAATAAGGATTCAAACTGTTTACATCA